ATCTTTTGACCCATCCTCCCCTTCTAACTATTGTCCCATATCCCTGCTCCCTTTTTCCTCAAAGCTTTTGGAAAGACTTGCCTTTACCCATCTGGCTCGCTTCCTCAATTCCAACTCTCTCCTTGGCCCTCTTTAGTCTGACTTCCGCTCCCTCCACTCTACTGAGACTGCTCTTATTAAAGTTACAACCTAATTGCAGCTAAATACAAAGGCCACTACTACATTAATTCTTCTTGACCTCTCTGCTGCCTTTGACACTGTTGACCATGTTCCCCTTCTCCAAACTCTTCAATCACTCGGTCTCTGTGACACTCTCCTCTCTTGATTTTCATCATATCTCTCCCAATGCTCATTCAGTGTCTCCTTTTTTAATGATGCCTCCTCCCTTCATCATGTCTCAACTGGAGTTCCCCAAGGATCTGTTCTTGGTCCCCTTCTATTTTCTCTTTTTCCTGCCTCTCTTGGCAAACTTATTACCTCACTTGGATTCCACTACCACTTGAACGTCGATGACACCCAGATATATCTCTCCTCCCCAGACTTCTCCCCTGCTGTCCTGCAACGTGTCACTGCTTGCCTTTCTTCCATCTCTGATTGGATGTCCTCCCACTTTCTAAAACTTAATCTCTCCAGAACTGAGCTTCTTGACTTTCCTCCTCCTAATACTGATCCTCCTCTTTTGCTTTCCCTTTCGCTGTCTTGGCATTATATTTGATTCTGGCCTCACCTTTGACAGGATTTGGTAACATCCAGTCTGTTACCAAATCCTGTCGATTCCATCTTAAGAAACAATGCCCGCATCTGCCCCTTTCTTATACAAGACGCTACTAGGGAGCATGTTCATGCTCTAGTAATCTCACATGGATTATTGTAACTCTCTCCTAATTGGTCTTCCCAGAAGCCGTACTTCCCCACTACAGTCTGTAATGAATGCTGCTGCCAGACTGATATTCCTCTCTAGTCACTTCTCTCACACCCCACCCCTCTGTCAATCCTTACATTGGCTTCCTGTATCCTAAGTACTAACCCATACGTATAAAGTACTACCACTAGCCCCTCATATCTCTTCAATGATCTATAGGTATTACCCCTCTCGGTCTCTCCGCTCTGCCCATGACCTTCTCCTGTCTGCTACTCACACCCGTATGGCCAAATCACGCTTGCAGAGCGGCTCCTTTCCTTTGCAATAGCCTGCCTACCACCATCAGACTCTCCCCTAGTCTTCAATTGTTTAAGAAGTGCCTTAAACCCATCTCTTCAGGAAAGCTTATTGCCTCCCAGAGTTACCTCTACCTCACATACCTGTCCCTTGCTCTCTCCTAAAGGGCAACTCTCTACTCTCTCCTCCAGCCCTGCCTCACTCCCACCTTGTTTGATTGCTATTTCCTGTCCTGTTGTGTTTTATAACCCACGTCCTCTTATTATGATTATTATTATGATATTTATATAGCGCCATCAAATTCCGCAGCGCTTTACAATGGGTGGACGAACAGACATGTAGTGGTAACCAGACAACAGAACAGAGGGGTTGAGGGCCCTGCTCAATGAGCTTACATGCTAGAGGGAGTGGGGTAAAATGACACAAAAAGGTAAGGATAGTATTAGACTAGTGACAGTTGCAGAAGAGGAATCAGTCAGGAGCTATTAACAGTTTAATTGATACGCTTTTATAAAGAAGTGTGTTTTTACAATTTTTTTGAAGGAGTGGAGACTGGGTGAGCATCTAACGGAGGAGGGAAGCAAGTTCCACAGGAACGGTGCAGCCCTCGAGAAATCTTGAAGGCGAGCATCAGAGGTGGGAGTACGGACAGAAGATAGATGTAAGCCTTCAGCAGATCGTAAGGGCCTAGACGGGACATACTTGTGTATAAGGGAGGATAGATAGGTGGGAGCAGCATTATGTAGCGATTTGAACCCCCGCCCCCACCCTCAGGGTCCCCCTCCCTTGGCGCTGAAGTGGTTAAAACCTTCAGTTACTTACCTTAATCCAGCGCCGGGCTCCCTCGGTGCTGGTGACCTCTCCTCCCCCGCCAACATCAGCTCCCGAGTGGAGCAGAATGCGCATGCGTGGCAAGAGCCGTGCGCGCAAACAGTCCATAGGAAAGCATTTCTCAATGCTTTCCTATGGGCATTCTGCACGCTGGAAGACAGCCACTAGAGGCTGGATTAACCCTGCAATGTAAACATAATGATAGCAGTTTCTCGGAAACTGCTATGTTTACATCTGAAGGGTTAAAATCTGGAGGACTTGGCACCCAGGCAACTTTATTGAGCTGAAGTGGTCTGGGTGACTATAGTGTCCCTTTAAAAGTAAAGGGACATTCCCACTGATCTGTGATGTCTTCAGCTGCTGATACTGGACTGTGAGATAGTTGCTGGCTAGGCAGGTGGCTGGCACCTGGTCTTTGAGGGTGCCAGATGGCTAGTCCCAGGTACAGGGGCCTGTTGCAGTTTAGGTGGATGCCAGGCCCAGATCTCAGCCGGTGCAGGATGGTTGGCCTGAGCCAGGCAGCTGGCTGTCTTGGCAGGCACTGGATGGCTGTTAAATGCCAGATGGCTAGCCTGAGTCGCCACCAGGCAGGTAACTATCCCCTGCTCTTGACGGGCATTGCATGGCTGTTAAATGCCAGATGGCTGGCCTGAGTGTCTGCTGGGCAGGTGGCTAACCCCTGGACTTGGTGGGCACTGGATGGCTTTTTTTATGCCAGCTGTCTGGTTTGAGAGAGACCAGAAGGCTAGCTGGATTCTGGATGGCTGGCACCTGGACACTGGTTTGCTTGGGTGGACGATGTCCTGCTGGCGTCTGGGTTGGTAGCTGTAGTCACTGGACAGCTACTGGGCAGAACTAGGCAGCCTGTTCCTGACCTGACTGGACACATGCTGGCCACATGGTGACAGTAATGAAGGCCAATGTAGTGTGCAGGCAGATGGCTACTAATGCATGCCAGAAGGCTTGTGAGCACAGGCAGTGGCACTAGGCTGGAACTGTGAACTGGGTTAGGGCTGTGCACTCACTGTGCACTGTGACTCACCAGGTCCTCTAATGGCCACCATAGCCTACCTTACCTTCATTAAATGGAAGAAATCTGCTAGGCCATAGCCCCATGTCCTTTCCTCCAATTGGCCTAGCAGCCCTGGGCTTGGGAAGTACTACCGCTGCACCACCGAGAAGAAGAACAAGAAAGTGAGTTTTCTCCTTCTCAGGCTGGGGATTACCGCACACTGCAACCAATGCTTTTAATAAATCAGCATTATTTTACCCCTTTGTAGTTTCTCCGACAGCCGAGAAGCGCTGCTGTAAACTGGAGAAACTACAAGGGGGGTAAAATACATTTAATAACTAAAATAAGCAAGATCCTCTATATGCTTTGTGACAGGCAGCAATTGCCCCCTCCCCCCTGGATCTGTCACTTGTGAGGCATTAAGCGAAACTCAACCATAAGGCCCCCACTAATACCCAAAGTGAAAAAAATGGATGTTACAGTGTGTATCTATAAAGAGCTGTAGTTATATTGAAGGGCGATCTTGCAGCACTGGATACAGAGTGCTAGTCTCTGTATTCATCGTTCAGAGGCTTGCAATGTCGTGGCTTCCTGTGCTGCTAAATTGTGAGCAGCTAATAGTAGTTATGGCATAATTTGCAATAAACTGATTTAATTTGCAACTATGTTAACCATTTATACACAATTGCGGGGTATGGTTACATAGTCTGGTAGTCATGTATACATAAGTGCCGGTTATTGGATACAAATATAAAAATTACAGATAAGAAAACAATCTGAGACATTTTCCCCACATATATATATATATATATATATATATATACACACATACATATAAAATCCTATATATGTGTTGTCCCATGTATTATAGATGTACGTATATTATATTAAATTATATGTTGCCACTTCACATTTGCATTGCCCATACCATACCATCCTCATATTGCAGCCAGAGACATATACACATACACACTCTGATACACGCACATGCATACATACACAAACACAATGGCGCAAGGAGACACACACTGACAAATACAGTCATGCAGTCACAACATGTATCTGGCTATATTTCTGAGTGTGTGTGGCATTGTCTACCTGTGTATGTGCCTGAGAGTGTGTGTCTGACAGAGCAGTGTTAAAACTACCGCTGTCGCAGGGGTCGCAGCTTTGACCAAGCCCGCCACTATAGGGGGGCCCAGCCCTACCTGCGGACCCCTGCGACTGCAGTGCCCACCTCCGGCCCACCGCACGTTAAGGGGTCCATCGGGTGGACCATGCTGTTAGGGCCCCCCGATGGAATATAATTTCCAGGGGGGCCCCCTGAGATGACATCACAGCTGGGAGGAAGAAACAGCCCAGGTCACTCCTCCCAGCTTACACCGGGAGCCGTGCGGGAGGAAGAGGTCAGAGTCAGAACTGACCCCCATCAGGCAGAGCCACCACTGGACCCCAGGGAATGTCACCCTCCTGCACCTAAAAGGTAGGAAACAGGAGGGTGACTAAAACAGTTTGTATATGTGTGTGTTTGTTTGTGTGTATGTGTGTCTGTATGAATGTTTCTCTGTGTGTGTGTGTTTGTATGTATATCTGTGTCTGTATGTGTGTATTTACATGTTAGTGTGTGTATATGTATGTATGTGTGTGTCTGCATGTGTGTGGGGGGGGGGCGCGACGTATGGGGGAGCCCCAGGGCAGTTTTTGCACGGGGCCCCGTGGTTTCTAGTTACTCCTCTGTGACAGAGTATCCTTGTGTGTGAATGTATGTCTCTGTGAGCATGTGTATGTTTGTTTCTGGGAACGTGTGTGTGTGTGTTTGGTAGCTGCGTGTGGGGTTTTGGGTGTATGGGGGCTGCCTGAAGCCTTTGTGCATTGTGTTTATGGCAAAGCTGTTTCATGACCGTGAGTGTACGATGAATGTCTTCAGCTGGTGACTGTGACAGGGTGAGTAATATGGTAACTGCAGCAGGGAGAGGGTGGTGAATGAGACACGGTGGGGGTATGAGTGTGACAGAATGATAGAGGATAATTATGAAAGGATTGGGGGTGAGTGTGACATGGCAAGTAGTATGACAGGATTAAGGTGGGTTAATGTCATGGGGGATCAGTGTGACAGGGTGAGTGTGGCATGCTTAGGTTGATGTATCACAAGGTTGGGGTGAATGTGGCATGGTGGAGAAAGGAGTATAACAGGGAGAGGGAAAGTGAGTGTGACAGGATTAAGGGGGTTAATGTGAGAGCGTGAGTGTGGCAAAGTGTGACAGGATTAGAGGTGTAAGTGTGACAGGGTAAGTGAGACATGTTTAGAGGAGGGAGTGTGACAGGGTGAGGGGAAGTGAGTGTGAAAGGATAAATATTGGTTAATGTGACAGGGTGGGTGTGACAGGATTAGAGGCGTTAATATTACATGGTGAGTGTAGGGGGAGGTTGTGATAGGGTTGGTGGTGGGTGTGGCACAGTTGGAGGACAGGACTGGTGGGGTTAATGTGATAGGGTGGGTGTGGCAAGATGATATAAGAGGAGTGTGACAGGGAGGCTGTGTTTCAGTTAATTTAGAAACTGGGGTATCTCTAAAGTTTCTGACAGAGTGTATGTGTTCCATGACACGTCTCTTAAAGGGGCGGATGGTTTTCCCCACATATCTCAGGCCACATGCACATGTCAGTAAGTATATGATACCTTTCGTATTGCAATTGAAAAATTGTTTAATCTGACACACTGAATTGTCAGTTAAATCTGAAAAGACTTTTGAGTCTTTCATCATGTACTGACAGGCTACACACCTGCCACATTGGTAGGTGCCCTGTACGGAGAGCCGATTTGTGGTGACACTCTTAGTGGACAAATGACTAGGAACCAAAACTTCTTTTAAGTTTCTGCCTCTACGTGCTGTGAGGGAAACAAATGGAGTTACTACTCCTTTGAGTTGGGGATCTTGAGAGATCAGAGGCCAAAACCTGCCTAGTATCCGTTTGGTTTGATCCCATCCAGAGTCAAACGTGGCTACACAACGAATAAGTTCTTGTTTTATTGGGGACTCTTTGTCTCTTAAGAGATCTCCTCTATCACTCAGTAAGGCCCTCTGGTAAGCATTTTTGAGGCAGCGATTGGGGTAACCCCTCTCCTTAAACCTAGTCCTGAGGAGTTTTGCTTGATTGATAAATTCATCCATAGTTGAGCAATTCCTCCTCAGACGTAGGTATTGGCCAACCGGAATACCTTTTTTCAGGGTGATGGGATGATGACTCTCCCATCTCAGCATGGTATTTGTTGAGGTTGGCTTTCTATAGAGAGTGGTTTCAATCCCTAAATCTTTGGAGATATTGAAGGTGCAGTCTAAGAAATTAAGTGTAGAGCCACCAATCTCCATTGTAAGTTTTAGGTTCAAGTCATTAGTGTTCAATTTGTCCACGAAGGACATGAATGTGTCCCCCGTGCCCGTCCAGACAACAAGGACATCATCGATGTATCTCTTCCACAGGAAGATATACTTTGTGAACTCAGCATTAATGTCTGCAAACACCACATTCTCCTCCCACCACCCCAGGTGCAGGTTGGCGTATGATGGGGCACAAGACGTACCCATGGCTGTACACTGCACCTGGTGGTAGAACTGTCCGTCAAAGAGGAAGAAGTTGTGGGTTAGCACAAACTTAAGCAATTCGATTACGAATCGCGTATGGCATTCATGTCTCGGACCTCTTGTGTCAAGGTAGCATTTGGTGTGTGCCAAACCCAAAGTATGGGGAATTGACGAGTACAGAGCCTCTACGTCGAGACTACACAATAGAGCGCCTCTTGGTATGTTAAGAGAGGCTAGGCACTTAAGTGTGTCCTTCGTGTCTCTCAAGTATGAGGGTAGTTTTTCAACGAGTGGTCTAAGTACTTTGTCTATATATAGACTGGCCCTGCTTGTCAAATTATTTGAACCTGACACAATCGGTCTGGCTGTTAGACGAGTAGACTTTTTGTGCACCTTGGGAAGGCAATAAAACGTAGAGACAACCGGATTTTTGATATAAATATACGAATGTTCATTCCTGCCCAAGATGCCTTTATCGAATGCTGAGTCCAGAATACCCTTAAGGTCTGACAGAAATTTAGTGGAGGGATCAGAACTCAATGTGCGATAAGTTGTATCGTCTTTAAGTATGTTGTTTGCAAGCTGGATATATTGTGTTCTATTTAAAATAACAATGTTCCCCCCTTTATCTGCCGGTTTAATGATGATGTCCTCGTTGTCCTGCAGGCCACGGAGGGCACACCATTCATCCTTTGAGAGGTTGCTATGGGGTCGAGGTTCAAGGGAATCAACTTTAAGTTTTTGTATCATCTTACATACTGATTCGACAAATAAATCTATGTTTTTGAAGTCTCTAAAGTTGGGTGTAAATTTGCTCCTGGGACACAGTTCTGTATAGGGTTGTGGGGAAGAATCATCATTATCTTCCAGAAGGGACACTAGTTCGGGCATTGGTATTCTCTGACACTAAATCCCAAATCTCTGGCTCTTTTTTCATTGATAGTAACGAAAAATTTGTGTAGAGCCAGACGTCTACCAAATAAATGGACATCTTTAATCCAATCAAATTTATTAAAAGGGGGTACCGGAACAAATGATAATCCCTTCATCAGGACCCGATGTTGTAATTCGGTAAGTATAGTGTCAGAGAGATTGAGAACCTTGATATTAGTACTTAGTAGCGTTTCCGTGCCCTCCCCCTGTATCTTGTCTGTCTGTGCTGTAGGGAAAGTTCCCCCTCCCGGGGGTTCTGCCCTAAAAAAGTCACCCCTTTTTTCAGGATGCCTTTTGAGTGTTCAATGGTATGGGGCGTGGAGGATGTGGTATTATCCTCATTCTCTGTGTCTGAAGTCTCGTATTCAGATGTAGTATTTTGATCTGATTCTACACGTGTAGTTTTTCTAAATTTCCTATAGACCCGCTCATTTTTATAATCTTTATGGTCCCTTAGAAATTTTCTATGTATTGCGATTTTTTTGAGGTCCCTATATTTATTCAGATTTTGTTGAAGATTAGCTTCTTGGGTACTAAAGTTAGGGTCTTCTTTAAAATTCTTTGTGGCTTCTACTGCCTCACTTACTTTCTCATTGACTTCAGTGAGCCTTTTGCTCTCGAACCTGCAGATAATATCCATGAAGGTTCGAGAACAAAGGTTTGCTGCCTCTTCCCATTCTTTAAGGAGAATGGCATCATCCATGTTGATGTTTGGCATGATCTGTACCCTGAGACCCCTTGGTATCATAGATTTATTTAGATAATTTTGTAAAGATGATATTTCCCAGATTTGATACAAATTTAACTTAATCAGTTGATTCCCTTTGAACCTCTGACACCCATTGTAAGCAAAACCTGTTAGAAACACTAAAAAATGAAAAGAATAGCCGGTGACCAAAGGCAACCAGCCTATGAGTGTGTCTAGAGGATCCCAAAAGGGGGTAACCCTTACATACGTTTAAAGAAAAAATACAAAAGGTATAGGAGGATCTAGGTAGGGAGGAGGATACTCCTCGTCCCTACACTAGGTCAACCAAGAAAGGAATCCCCATCCTAATTGTAATTCTGGAAAGAATAGTGGTAATAAAACATTCGTATATTTATATCAAAAATCCGGTTGTCTCAACAGCCAGACCGATTGTGTCAGGTTCAAATAATTTGACAAGCAGGACCAGTCTATATATAGACAAAGTACTTAGACCACTCGTTGAAAAACTACCCTCATACTTGAGAGACACGAAGGACACACTTAAGTGCCTAGCCTCTCTTAACATACCAAGAGGCGCTCTATTGTGTAGTCTCGACGTAGAGGCTCTGTACTCGTCAATTCCCCATACTTTGGGTTTGGCACACACCAAATGCTACCTTGACACAAGAGGTCCGAGACATGAATGCCATACGCGATTCGTAATCGAATTGCTTAAGTTTGTGCTAACCCACAACTTCTTCCTCTTTGACGGACAGTTCTACCACCAGGTGCAGTGTACAGCCATGGGTACGTCTTGTGCCCCATCATACGCCAACCTGCACCTGGGGTGGTGGGAGGAGAATGTGGTGTTTGCAGACATTAATGCTGAGTTCACAAAGTATATCTTCCTGTGGAAGAGATACATCGATGATGTCCTTGTTGTCTGGACGGGCACGGGGGACACATTCATGTCCTTCGTGGACAAATTGAACACTAATGACTTGAACCTAAAACTTACAATGGAGATTGGTGGCTCTACACTTAATTTCTTAGACTGCACCTTCAATATCTCCAAAGATTTAGGGATTGAAACCACTCTCTATAGAAAGCCAACCTCAACAAATACCATGCTGAGATGGGAGAGTCATCATCCCATCACCCTGAAAAAAGGTATTCCGGTTGGCCAATACCTACGTCTGAGGAGGAATTGCTCAACTATGGATGAATTTATCAATCAAGCAAAACTCCTCAGGACTAGGTTTAAGGAGAGGGGTTACCCCAATCGCTGCCTCAAAAATGCTTACCAGAGGGCCTTACTGAGTGATAGAGGAGATCTCTTAAGAGACAAAGAGTCCCCAATAAAACAAGAACTTATTCGTTGTGTAGCCACGTTTGACTCTGGATGGGATCAAACCAAACGGATACTAGGCAGGTTTTGGCCTCTGATCTCTCAAGATCCCCAACTCAAAGGAGTAGTAACTCCATTTGTTTCCCTCACAGCACGTAGAGGCAGAAACTTAAAAGAAGTTTTGGTTCCTAGTCATTTGTCCACTAAGAGTGTCACCACAAATTGGCTCTCCGTACAGGGCACCTACCAATGTGGCAGGTGTGTGGCCTGTCAGTACATGATGAAAGACTCAAAAGTCTTTTCAGATTTAACTGACAATTCAGTGTGTCAGATTAAACAATTTTTCAATTGCAATACGAAAGGTATCATATACTTACTGACATGTGCATGTGGCCTGAGAGTGGGGAAAACCATCCGCCCCTTTAAGAGACGTGCCATGGAACACATACACTCTGTCAGAAACTTTAGAGATACCCCAGTTTCTAGACACATCAGAAATGATCATCATGGTGACACACGAGGGATCAAATTTGCAGGTATCGAAAAGGTGCAATTGGGTCGTAGAGGAGGTGACCTGGATCGCACCCTCCTCAAAAGGGAATGTTTCTGGATTTATAAATTCAATACATTGGCCCGTAATGGATTAAATGAAGGGTTTACGTTTACTCCCTACATTGAATAATGAGTTTCACAGTGAATAATATATAAACATCTTTACTAATGCATCATTACTATATACATAATATACATACATATATGATTATTTGTAAATACTTTTGTTATTTGTTGATTTAAATAGATTGCAAAGTCTTGTCCCCTTTTAAATTATATGTGAAGCGTTGTCATCAGTTTTTTTTAAACATTACTGCTCAACAATATGCCATCCCACCATGAATGATTAGGATCAAAAGCTCTTTATGTGCTAGTATAAACATATTTCTTTTATGTTTGTCTGTTTATTTGAAAGCACACAATTCTTGTAAATAGTTTTCTTTACTTTATTGTATTTGGTTAATCCATCTGACAGTATTATAAATGAACAACCTTCAGACTGTATATACTGGTCTTCATCCATACTTCATTCATGACCAGCTCAATGTTTAGGCGATAGTTCCCTAATGGGAACACTAGCATGCTCTATCAATCATTCACACATGGGGGAGGTGTTTGTTCAAACGCCGTTCGGGCGCGAACAGTTTGACACGCCCACACAATTCTCGCTGACCCGGCATACATATTTAAGGGCTGGGAGGGGGACAGACCGTTGCTTTACCTCTGACGAAGGCGCATTGGAAGCGCTGAAACGCGCGTTAGGTAGTTTAGTCTGGAGTTTGCCACGTGTGAGTCTAGCTTAGAGTGAGAACGAGCATTTAGGTTTCAGTATTTTGCCGCTAGTGCAAGGGATTTGGGGGGACTTGAGAGGCAGTTCAGTTTGTAGTCTGCCACTAGGTAGGCTAGCTTGAAGTGAGTACGGCTACTTAGGTTTCAGATATCTGTTACCAGCGGAAGGGTTTTTGGGGGGAACTTGAGGAGGGTAGGATTTTGTTTGTTTATTTAATCCACGCAGTGAATCCCTCTCTATTCAGATTATTCCCCTTCTTACTGCAGTGATTTCCTTAGCTACACTATCTATTTCCCTCACTACATAGAGGTTATTGGCATATAGTGCAACTTAGTTTCTATTTTGCACTGGATACTCTGTTACAGTTTGCCATTGAGTATCTCATCACTTTTCTTTTCTCTATAAGTAGCCTACAGAATTGTTTCATTTCTTCTCTCTTTCTCCTCCCTATAATTTACCCTATTTGGCTTCTAGTCTCATGCTAGATATCTCTCTATAAGTGATTTATAAGGACATCGAAACGAATTATTATTATTATTATTATTTTTATTTTTACTGTCCATACCCACAGTGATTGTGGTGGCACTCCTTATATTATTTTTCATTTTCTGTGTATTTACATAGTTTTATCCATTATTAATAAAGGTTAAGTTTTATTACCACTATTCTTTCCAGCATTACAATTAGGATGGGGATTCCTTTCTTGGTTGACCTAGTGTAGGGACGAGGAGTATCCTCCTCCCTACCTAGATCCTCCTATACCTTTTGTATTTTTTCTTTAAACGTATGTAAGGGTTACCCCCTTTTGGGATCCTCTAGACACACTCATAGGCTGGTTGCCTTTGGTCACCGGCTATTCTTTTCAACATTTTACATTGAATACTTTTTTTATCTTGTTTTTGTGCTGTAATACATTTTTAAACATTTCCCTACATTCAAACTTGAGTCCTGATCTATATAGGGAGGACACCAGGAGTGTGGGAGAAGCAGGGCAATATTACCAGACCAAATAGACCAAGTTATTTTACATCTATTTATCTAATTTATACTTTGAAGTGCACGTCCTATCTTTGATAGATCTTTTTTCTAAATGCCCCATTGTCAAGTGTTTAAAATGTTGAGGTCTGAAGACTTCCATATTAAAGGGACACTATAGTCACCAAAACAACTTTGGTGTATAGATCATTTCTCTGCCATTTAGGAGTTAAATCCCTTTGTTTATGAACCCTAGTCACACCTCCCTGCATGTGACTTGCACAGCCTTCCTAAACACTTCCTGTAAAGAGTCAGCTAATGTTTACCTTCATTGCAAATTCTATTTAATTTAAAATGTATTATCCCCCGCACTGTTGATAGATAGCTAGATCCCACAGAAGCATTCTGTGTATGATTGAAGTTCCCGTTAGAGAGCATGCAATAAGAACGTTTAAAGTAAGTTACCTCTAATTGAAAGTGAAACCATTTTTTTCATGAATGGTGTGTGCGTTACAGCTAGGGCAGGTGTGACTAGGGATGCATGGACAGAAACAAAAGGGATTTAACTCCTAAACTGCAGATATTTGAGCAGTGAGACTGCAGGATCATGATCTATACACTAAAACTGCTTCCTTAAGCTAAAGCTGTTTTGTTAAATATAGTGTCCCTTTAAGTCTACAATATTTTTCTAAAAAATAAATAAAAATAAAGATAAAAAGAACGACCATTTTAATCTCTAAATACCAAGTGTCCCCCTCTCCCCCCACCAAGTCTCCTACTTCTAGTTCCAGTGCCACATAACTAAAAATATAAATCTCCCTAAGAATCTCACCCTTCACGGATGACTATATGTGCCCACAAGTGAGTCAATCTCTTCTTCCTTATCGGTCTTCTCAGAGGTATTGTTGCAATTTCCCACAACCTTGACCCGGCATTTTTTAAATAGGAACCTAAATGCTTGAAAACTATTCCAATCTCCTACACTCTCCTGTACGGAAGAGGGCCTCAACCTGGGTCATCCAGTTGAACCTGCCTCATCAGTAGAGTCTACAATCTAATTTGACACATGCTAAAGAGTCACCCTAAGCACCATCACAACTTTGATTAATTAAAAATATGGTAGTACAAAAAATACCCTACATAGCATTTTTACAAAGACATGGTAAGTGCCTGCAATAACAAAATCACCAACCCACTTGCTTAGTAGCAGCACTACAAGCACTATAACCCCTAAAGCAATCTCTACTCTATATGTTTCTAGGCATGCCTTGGAACCCACTTGTAAATATTAAAATGTTTTGCCAAAAATTAGAAGATCTTGGTAACACATGCCTAACTTATTGCCTGAGAAAGTGAGTGGATCATTATCAGCCAGTGGGCTAAGCCATGCACAAACAGGTTTAGTTCCTGAGCAGTATTGGAGGCAGAAGTGGTGCTGTTATAGCAGAACTCTGAAAAAGCCACGCACAGAGAGTCCGGACGCAGGTCAGTTCAGGAAGCAAAGATCTTTATTTTCACTGATCGGGTCTCAGCTGAACTCATGTCCAAAATGTCTGAGCACTGAGCACATGCATTTTATAGACTATACATCCCCCATCAGTACCCTTACACCAATCAACAAACAGGATTACCTAATATGGACAGGCAGTATGGAGAGAATGGAATGTGGTTTCAGTTCTTGCACATGCTCAGTACATTGATGACAGTTTCCTGACTACATGTAACTAACAGATACATGTGCTGCTATATGCCATGTGGAGATTTTAAGCCTACTAAATTTTGGGCTTAGCTGAGATCCCCTCAAATTCCCCCCTTTGATGCTGCTGAAACTATGTATTCCAGATGCATCCCTTACCATACTTTGCCAATACCACTCAGTTAAAATAGAACAGGAGAAACTATAGAAGCTTTTTAAACTTAACAATAGAAGTTCCTATGTAAACTTATTAAAGCTCAGCTACCCGGTTACAGGTTACTTCTCTCTGAGATAGAGGTTCATATCTCCAGAGGGCCATTACGTGGGCTGCCGTCTTTCTCTCAATAGTACTCTTGATAACACTACGTACAGACTGTATTATTAAAGGAATCAAGCAGGGTAGTAAGAGACATAAGATAATGATAACTACCACTCCTCCTACCAGTGCCTTTAACCCTCCAAACTGTTCATACCAGCTTCCGAACCAACTAACTGGATTATACCCGTTCCAGATCTGAGTAGGTACGTGCATACACCTTGAGTCCTCAAGTCTCTCCTGTTTGAATTGGTAACAAAAAGAAAGTGGGGCATGTCTATTAAACAGTGAGCAGTCTGTGGGTGGGTGCCCTAAATAAAAAAAATTAACCCCCCCTCCCCCAGGTGACTAGGGGTCCCCAAACCCCTAGTCACCCCCTCCCAAAAAAAAACAAAAAACTAACCCCTACCTACCCACCTCACCCTAAAAATAATGAGGACTAATTATAATAAGTAATAATTAGTTTAAAAGCCCCCACTCGCTCGGGAAATGGGATCTTTTTTTTTTTAAACAGTGAGCAGCCTATGTGTTAATTCCAATAAGGCCTACTTACCACAAATCCAATATAAATTAGATAGGGCTCTCCACTTAGAAGTAGCCGACAGGTCAAACCATACCTCTCTTAAATTGGTGTAGTTAGCAAAGGTTTCAAAATAAATACAAAGTCCTGCTGTGTAACCCACAATGTACCAACACACTCTAGGCACCTGTGTGCTCACCTCTCTTTACACACAAAAATAAAAATTATACATACAAAAAGAAGTTTGGTGGTGTTTGGCTGGATTTCAAGTAATTTGTCACTCTAGGAGACAAATAAACATGGCCGAAGCCTAGTGCAATACAGTACGGTCTAATGTATAGACAGATATATGGTTCTAGTGATGTAGTACTCACAAAGATGGAGCCAAAATAATAAAGTAAAGTAAAAATAGTAGAAATTGGTACAATGAATGAAGTCCAAATAGTATGTGGAAACTTGCAAGACGCGTTTCGCCTGTTAAAAAGGCTTCTTCGGTTGCTTGTAGATCTTTTCCGGTGTTTAGTTGTTCTTATATGCCTCTCCCTAATTGCTCATTGCGGTCACCTGATGTTGCAGATCGGTTCAGTCTCTTTTTAATGACGCGGATCTTTGCGTCTTTCTGATGACGTTGGTACATTCAGTCCATATTTGGAACGCATTCTTGCGTTCCACAGTCCAAAAAAAAACGTTATTGTGCTTAACAATATTGTATATTTCATATATGCATATCGGAGACAGGAAAAAGAGGAAGTCATTATTTAATTGTTTTACTATTTATAATAGAAATATAAAAGCATGCAGAAAATGTTAAGTATAAGAGTACATAAGACTTATATGAGTGTTTCAGTAATTATACATATTTTTAGTGCATAAAACCAATAGATTATTCCATTCTATATTAAAAGTACACAGAGTGTCGTGCTCTATATTACATAAAGTGCTTAATATATTAAAAAGCTATAGTGAAAGTGTAAAAGGTGCTTGATATATTTTAAAGCTATAATAATACTCCTAATGTTTAAGTCAGTTTGGTAGCTCATTAAAAATTACCATCTGAACTTTAAAAATCGCATTTATGAGGACAAAAGAAATTCTCTAATTATATGGGTATTGTGTGGCATATAATTATGTGAAAAAAAATAAAAATATATATAATATAGGAGTAAAACATATTTTAAACAAACATATATATATATATATATATATATATATATATATATATATATATATATATATATAAATAAAAGGAGGGTACTCAAGTGCTTAAGATATTTACATATTGTTTATAAAAAATGGCATAGTTTAATCCGTGTGGTATGAGAGTATTAAGATTAAAAATATATTTCATCTCTTCTTTTCCCAATTTATTGCTGAAATCTCCTCCTCTCCAATCTTTTTGTACTACTTTTAGGACACAGAAAAAGAGATCTTTTGTGTTTTGATTGTGGACCATTTTGAAGTGTTGGGAGACACTGTGTGTTTCCAGACCTTTCTTGATATTTCGTATATGTTCCGCAACTCTAATATTTAATGGATGAATTGTTCTGCCTATATATAATAGGTTGCAGGGACATTTCAAGGTGTAAATTATGGCTTTTGAGTAGCAAGTGGCATGGTCTTTAATAACTAATGACTAATATTGGTAAGGTGTCTCTTATGACTATTGGTTGTTCTGCATGGTAAGCAGTTACCACAACCATAAAATCCTGAAAGGCTTTTAAAAAAATTATTTTGTGCTTTTTCTGTTTCTAGGTGGCTTTTTACTAAAATCCTTTTTAAATTTTTGGTTCCCCTAAAAATTAATTTTGGTTAAACATTTATTTAATTCAGGGTCATCTTTTAAAATATGCCAAAATTTCTGTATAGTTCGTTTTAATTACAGATGAAAGGTACATCGTTAGTTTGCTGGATTTTATCTCTTGGTTTGTACTTAAGGAGTTGCTGTCTGGGTAAAGTGCTTATTTGTTCTAGATTGCTTTGAAGATTTTCTTTCTCATAGCCTTTTTCAATAAATTGTTGCTCCAAATATTTTGCTTGTTCTAAAAAATCTTTTTCATCTGTGCAGTTCCTTTTGATTCTAAGGAACTGTCCTTTTGGAGCGTTAGTCAACCAGGTTTTGTAGTGGCAGCTTGTTCTTTCTATATAGCTATTGCTATCTACAGGTTTAAAATAATTATTCGTTCTGATTAATGAATCTTTAATAAAAATTTTGATATCTAGGAAATTAATCTCTAACTGGCTATGGATACATGTAAGTTGTATTCCCCAATTATTATTGAGGAATACTAAAAAATCATCCAGACTTGTTGGTGTGCCTGTCCATATAACAAAATATGTTGTCTATATACCTACGATAGGCCACCAAGTTCTCCCCCCAGCTATGTCCCTGGGAGATAACATTTTCTTCCCAATAAGCCATAAAAAGGTTGGCATAGCTGGGGGCGAACTGTAAAAAAAAAAAAAAAAAAATGATCCTCGAACCAGAAAAAATTATTGGGTTAAAATCAAAATCCCTTCTATTATAAAATTGATTTGTTCCTCCTTAAAATTAGATTTTTCTAAAAAATATTTTACAGCCACTATGCCTTTTTCGTGTGGAATAATGCTATATAAAGAGCTAACATCACATGTAACTAAAGTATATCCATCCTTCCACTGGGTATGTTCTAAAATCTGTAGCATGTGTATTGTGTCTTTTAAATAAAATGGGTTCTTTGTTACTATTGGCTGTACTAAAACATCTATATATTCAGATACTCTCGATGACACTGAGTTAATACCTGATATTATTGGTCTGCCAGGAGGATTGGTGATGTCTTTATGTAGTTTCGGCAAATGGTAAAATACTGGTATCCGGGGGTTATTCATATATAGGTATTTGGCTTCTTTTTTTCATTTAAAATATTTAATTCTTTCCCTTTATCTATATATATTTTAAACTTTTCTTTTATATTTTCTGTGGGATTACTTGATAGTTTCTTATAAGTTTTAGTGTCTGAGAGAAGTCTATGAGCTTCTTCTATATATTTTTCCCTATTAAAAATAACAGTTCCTCCCACTTTGTCTGCCAGTTTGATTATTATATTTTTATGCTTTCTCAAATATGCTTTCTAAAGATTTATTTTCCATTTTGGATAAATTATTTTGATACTGATTAATTTTCTTTATTTTATCTACCTCCTTCATTACCATAGTCTCAAAGGTTTTAATTTGATCTGAGATCATGTGTTTTGGAAAAAAATTTGATTTTTCTTTTAGTGATGTATGTTCATATAGCTCATCGTGTTCCACCAATGGTTGTTCCTCTCTTTCATAAAAAAATCGAATTTATTAAAATCTGAGGTAGGTGCAAATTTAAGACCTTTTTGTAAAATTTCTTTCTCTTCTATAGAAAAAGAATGGTCTGCTAAATTAAAAATGCCATCTATACATGTCTTTTGTTCCTCTTCTCTCTGTATCTCTGTCCTTCTCTTCCTTCGTCTTCCATAGATCTCTGTCGTTTCCCAGGAGACTCCTGCGGTAAAATTCTCTGTGACCACCTCAGTCTGTTGGTCGTGGGGTCCTTCCGAAAAAAAGATGAAGACGAGTGTGCTGAATGTGTTGAGGGAGGATAGTGGGATCTAGGTCTTATCTGGCGATTACTTGAAAGGAAGAGTGAGATCTAAATGATGTTGAATGGTTAGTATCTAGTTTTGGGGATTTAGATCTCTCTCTTCTTATCCTATTTTCTGTGATATCTTCATGATTGTAATTACTTTTTCTCAATGGTCCTTCTTTCACTACTTCGCTGTAGCTTCTCAAATCTCGATGCTTAGTTTGAGTCCTCTGTGACCTTACTTGATCTCGTGTGTGTGTTTGGACTCTCAATGTTCTTTTATAGTTCTCATACTGAGGTTTATGAGTATTTTCTAGTTTATGATTATTGTACTCTTTATTTCTGTCTTTCCTTTGCAAGAATGTTTTTTGGGAATAATGGTTATGAGTATTTGACCTTCCTTTATATGAAAAGGAAGCATGTTCATAAGACCTCACATGTCCTGTCTTGTAATCAATTATGTCCCTAAGGTATTTTTTCTTTTTGATTTCTATAATAGTGTCTTCTATGTTATCAACTTTTATTTTGATCTCTTTCACAATATTGTTATACATTTCAGGGCTTGTGGTTTCACTAAGATTTTCCTTCCATTTTGTTATTTCTTCATCTAATTTTGGGAGACTCTCTTCCCTTCGTGCAACTATGTAGCCCACTAGGCTGAAGGAAAACCCATCCAACATTTTATTCCACCCAGTCATGAAGTGGGGGTCGTCTTTATCTGATGCTGGATCTTTTGAGAATCTTAGTCCTCTCTGTGTAATCTGTTCATTAACATACTTAGTTAAAGTTGCTATCTCCCATTTAGTTTTCATTTCTTTAATGAGGGCCTTTTCTAAGTTGAATCTGTTTTTGTCAATGTTGCTGTAATTTTGTGCTGGGATGTTATGGCCCCCTACAAAGCACATGTCTATGTTATTAATACAATATTTTCTTTTCTCTAAATATGTCATGGTTAACACGCTGGACTAAGTGAGAGTATCAAATTAAATACGATTCAAAATAAATACAAAGTCCTGCTGTGTAACCGACAATGTACCAACACACTCTAGACACCTGTGTGCTCACCTATCTTTACACACAAAAATAAAAACTATACATACAAACTTACATGTATACATAGCCAGTTAGAGATTAATAAAAATGTTGAGATCTAGGAAATTAAAGATTCATCAATTAGAACGAATAATTATTTTAAACTTGTAGATAGCAATAGCTATATAGAAAGAACAAGCTGCCACTACAAACCCTGGTTGACTAACGCTCCAAAAGGACAGTTCCTTAGAACCAAAAGGAACTGCACAGATGAAAAAGATTTTTTTAGAACAAGCAAAATATTTGGAGCAACAATTTATTGAAAAAGGCTATGAGAAAGAAAATCTTCAAAGCAATCTAGAACAAATAAGCACTTTACCCAGACAGCAACTCCTTAAGTACAAACCAAAAGATAAAATCCAGCGAACTAACGATGTACCTTTCATCTGTAATTACCATGGAAACACCAGAAAAGTAAAACGAACCATACAGAAATGTTGGCATATTTTAAAAGATGACCCTGTATTAAATAAATGTTTACCCACCCCTGCCCCCCCCCCAACCAAAAATTATTTTTAGGAGAACCAAAAATTTAAAAATGATTTTAGTAAAAAGCCACCTAGAAACAGAAAAAGCAAAAAAAAAAATTTTTTAAACCCTTAAGGACACATGACATGTGTGTGACATGTCATGATTCCCTTTTATTCCAGAAGTTTGGTCCTTAAGGGGTTAAAAAGCCTTTCAGGATTTTATGGTTGTGGTAACTGCTTACCATGCAGAACAACCAATAGTCATAAGAGACACCTTACCAATATTAGTCATTAGTTATTAAAGACCATGCTACTTGCTACTCAAAAACCATAATTTACGCCTTGAAATGTCCCTGCAACCTATTATATATAGGCAGAACAATTCGTCCATTAAATATTAGAGTTGCGGAACATATACGAAATATCAAGAAAGGTCTGGAAAAACACAGTGTCTCCCAACACTTCAAAATGGTTCACAATCAAAACACAAAAGATCTCTTTTTCTGTGTCCTAAAAGTAGTACAAAAAGATTGGAGAGGAGGAGATTTCAGCAATAAATTGGGAAAAGAAGAGAAAAAATATATTTTTAATTTTAATACTCTCATATCACTCGGATTAAATTCAGACTTTGAACTATGCCTTTTTTTTAATAAACAATATGTAAATATCTTAAGCACTTGAGTCCCCTCCTTTTATATATATATATTTTTTTTAAATATATTTTACTCATATTATATATATATATTTTTTTTTTAACAATTATATGCCACACAATTCCCATATAATTAGAGAATTTATTTTGTCCTCATAAATGCGATTTTTAAAGTTCAGATAGTAATTTTTAATGATCTACCAAACTGACTTAAACATTAGGAGCATTAATATAGATTTAAAATATATCAAGCACCTTATAAAATATAAAGTTTGACACCTTATGCACTTTCACTATAACTTTTTAATATATTAAGCACTTTATGTACTATAGAGCACGACACTCTGTGTACTTTTAATATATAATGGAATGATCTATTGGTTTTATGCACTAAAAATATGTATAATTACTGAAACACTCATATAAGTCTTATGTACTCTTATACTTAACATTTTCTGCATGCACTTAGATTTCTATTATAAATAGTAAAAAAATTATATAATGACTTCCTTTTTCCTGTCTCCGATATGTATATATGAAATATACAATATTGTTAAGAACAATAAAGTTTTTTTGGACTGTGGAACGCAAGAATGCGTTCCAAATACGGACTGAATGTACCAACGTCATCAGAAAGAGACGTGAAGATCCGCGTCATTAAAAAGAGACTGAACCGATCGGCAACATCAGGTGACCGCAATGAGCAATCAGGGAGAGGCATATAAGAACAACTAAACACCGGAAAAGATCTACAAGCAACCGAAGAAGCCTTTTTAACAGCCGAAACGCGTCTTGCAAGTTTCCACATACTATTTGGACTTCATTCATTGTACCCATTTCTACTATTTTTATTTTACTTCATTATTTTATATTGTTATTTTTTTTTTTTTATTATTATTTTATACTTTTGTTTGCTTCATGCCAATAAAGAATTTCCTGATATTGGAACCTATATTCAGTGAAGTTATTGGGCAAACAAGAAGACTCCTAAAGCATCAAAAGCGAGCAGGGTCCCTTCCAACATCCCCAATTGCACTTGTGGTAAGCCTCTCATATTGGCTCCATCTTTGTAAGTACTACATCACTAGAACCATATATTTGTCTATACATTAGACCGTACTGTATTGCACTAGGCTTCGGCCATGTTTATTTGTCTCCTACAGTGACAAAATACTTGAAAACTAGCCACACTCCACCTAACTTCTTTTTGTATGTATAGTTAGCAAAGGGATTAGTAGATTCTATGACATTTGAAGCCGACCACCAGGTAGTATTTTGACTATTAGCATTATATGCTTTCTAACCTAGACAGGTCAACTTGCCTACAGGTGTGTTATACATTGGGCCTACCCTAGCTAAACATACGTCGCCAATTATGGATGTCTTTAATTACCATTCTAACTTTCCCCATGTCATTGCTTGAGTACTAGAGTGGGAAGGCATCTGTTGATCATTTGTCTCAGAACCAGGATACCATACTTCTCTTGCTTCCCATGGTCATTGATGTCCTATATTGGTGCCTCCACAAACAAAGCAGTTAGTTATATTAAGACTACTTGCAATACTCTCTGCCAGATCAATGAACAGGTTTTTAACAGTATGTGGGACTTCATCTTCACTACTCCTCTCCTCATAAAAGAAATGGAATACCTGATGAGTTTGAGCATTTAGGGTCTCAGTTTCAAGGCCTATATACAGTATGGCTCCAGGGTCTGTTCCTGTACCATATATTTGGAAACCAAAAAGATTCCAAACTTATTTATAAATTGATGGGGATTTGAAATTGTCATATGTACACTTTGAATTATCAGGTCTTGGTCTACTGTTTTTCCCTAGGTTGCCCAACCTACACATGACCAATATGGGCAGATGTTGAAGTCCCTATTTGGACAATCATGGTCAGTGATTCTTCTACTAGGGCATAGGTATTTATCATTAAACCCATATGTTCACTCCCACTTAAGGTTACCGCATATATTCCACACAGTTTTCCACTACCAGAAATTGCTTTGCATGCATCAAATAAAAGGATGCCTAGGGATGTACTAGTGCTTAATAAGGTCTTATTTATTAAAATCTTCTGGGACTGAGCATTTCGAAGAACCAGCCAAATTGTACGGTGTTGAAACTGGGGATCAAAACACTTGGGTTCACCTGAAGCTGGCTGATATACACTATAATCAGTATCTAGGTATCTGCATTTGGACACAGATCTTTTACATTCATAATACGAATGCCAAATGAGTCTGGGATATATGATTATATATAGTATAGATATATAGTCCTACTACAACTATCACGGCCTTGTACATCAATCTCTTTGCATTCCATATATAATATTAAAATACTAACACACAAAAAGAAATACATTATAATATATGTAATTATCCAAATCTTCAACTGTGCAACGGAACCTCAGCTTCCCGGTTGTGAGGGCTGCAGGGAATGTTGTCAGTCTGATCCTCTTCCCTTCACAGAGGTCCCTTTGAGACGCTCTGACTACGAAACGTTGGTAGGTGGTCAGGCTTTATTATGGCCGTCAAAACACCTATTTGCAGCTTTTTGATGTCCTCTCGATCAGGGTCCATGAAGATAGGCTTGTAATTCTGGAGTTACTTTAATCACGTTCCAGGGACTGGGTATTTCACTTTAATCACGTTCCAGGGACTGGGTATTTCGCTTTAACCGGATCTTACAAGGATTCTCAGGATCAGGTTTAGTTTGCCAAGATTCTGCTGCTGGTTAAACCATAGAGTGATGAATCCAGGGAGTCCCTTCCGCCACCTATACACCTGTTGGGGTAGACAAAAGAACAGTATAAGGACCTCTCCATTTAGGGCCCAAAGGAACAGTATTCCATTCTTTTATCCACACTTGGTCACCCGGATGATGAGAATGGACAGGTGGATATATATTCACAGGTAACCTATCTTGCACCCATTTCTGTACCTCCTCTATAGTTTTACCCAACTCTACAACTTGCTGCCGGATAATGCTATCACCCTACTGATAAAGATCGCCACGTAGATGACTAATTATGGGTGTTGGATGCCCATGCATGATTTCAAATGGGGACAGGGCCATATGTCTGGTGGTAGTACTACGAATATGCAACAGTGCTACTGGCAGAAGAACATTCCATATGAGCAGAGTCTCTTGGCACATTTTGGCTAGCTTTATTGTTCTATTTATTCTTTCCACCTTTCCAGAACTCTGAGGTCTATAAGCAGTATGTAGTCGCCACTTGATACCGAGTACATGCGTCAGTTGCTGTAGGCATTGATGTATGAAAGCTGGACCATTATCAGACCCTATAGAACACGAAAGTCCATATCTAGGAATAACTTCTCGTAGCAGAAAATGCACAACTTCTAGCTTTTTCTGTATAGGTTGGACAGGCCTCAACCCATAAAGAGTAGGTACATACTGCTACCAGCAGGTAACTATACCCTCCAGATTTTGGCATAGCTGTGAAGTCTACTTGGAAGTCTGACATGGGGAATCCTCCCATGTACAGAACTCTGGGAGGCTTAGCAGGCCCTTGTCTTGCATTATTGTGGGCGCACTGTACACAACGTCTGGCAATGGCTTGAGTGAAGTCTGATAATCCTGGTATATAGAAATGCCTGCTGAGAGAATCTTCCATATTGTCTCTTCCCGAGTGTGTACCACTGTGGAAGTTCTGAACAATTTCTATAGCTAATGATGCAGGAATAACTATTCTTCCATCTTCTAGTTGATACCAATTATTCTCCAAGTATTTTCCAGATTCAGTTTTTAGCCACTCTTTCTCCTGAGATCCATATACCGGAGTCCATTGGGACAAAGGTGCCAGTATAAGTGCAATAGCATAACTCACAATGTCACTTTCCTGTCTTGATTCTCCAGCTTGTTTTGCAGCACTGTCTGAAATACGATTGCCTCGTACTATATCACAGTGACCTCTCAATTGTGCTCTACAATGTATAATACTGACTTCTTTCGGTTGCCGAACTGCCTCCAACAGTTGAAATATCTCAGCTGCATACTTGATCTCTTTTTCCTCTGAATTTAGCGGTCCTCTTTCCTTGTATAGTGCTCCATGGGCATGAGTTGTTATCTGGAGTCAGTATAAATATTCCCTCTCAGCCCCTCAGATAATTGCAGGGCCCTTGTAAGCGCCTTCTGTGCTGATGTTCCTTTTGTCAATGGCTGTGCTTCTATCACCTTGTCAACGGTGGTTACTGCATAACTTATTCCTTCTCTTACAAAACTGCTACCGTCCGTATAATATTGTATGTCCGGATTCTGAAGTGGGAAATCATGAAGATCGGGCCTACTAGAGAAGACTTCATCCATTATTTCCAAATAGAAGAAAGGTCCAGGCACTCCAAGGTACAAGCAAGGCAATTTTATTGAACCCTCTCCTTCACAATGTTTCGACCTACACGGTCTTTGTCAAGCATGGGGAACTCGGACATAAAGGGCATGTGTGGTCTGGTAATCCAATGGCTGGTGCACTCATAAGTGCTTTCTTGATTTCCTCAAACGATTTCTGTTGTTCTGTAGTCCACAGGAAGGGATCATGTTCTGTACCTTTTATAGCCCCATACAATGGTTTTGCTAGTATCAAATCATTAGGAATCCATATCCGACAGAATCCAGCTGCTCCCAGAAATACTCGAACTTGTCTTCTGTTTTTCGGGGTGAGTATGCGGCATACAGCTTCTTTTCTTTCAGGTCCCATTGTTCTTTGACCCTCTGTAATATGGAATCCTAAATACTTGACAGTAGACTGGAACTATTGCGCTGCCTTCTTAGATAACTTATATCCTGCCCTCCATTGAATATGAAGAAGATCATGAGTCGCTTGTTGGCACATTTCCTTAGTGATTGCAGCTATTAGTAGATCATCCACACACTGGAGTAGTACACATTTTCCTGGGATGGATTGGAAGTCTTGTAAATCCTGACTTAATGAGGATCCAAAGAGGGTTTGAGAATTTTTTTAAACCCTGTGGCAACCTGGTCCATGTCATCTGACGCTTTGATCCTGTAATAGCATCTTCCCATTAGAAAGCAAAGATACACTGGCTTTCAGCAGAGACTCGGAGGCAAAAGAAGGCATCTTTGAGATCCAGAACATTATAGTGGGTAACGCCACCAGGAATCAAGGTAAGCAGAATATACGATTTTGGTACCACTTGGTGTAAGTTGACCACTGCATCATTAACTGCTCTTAAATCTTGTACAGGACGGTACTCATTAGACCCTGGCTTCTAAGTAGGTAATAATGCAGTGTTCCAAGGGGAGGTATAGAATTGTAGGATGCCATACTTCACAAACTTGTCCAAGTATATCTGTATGTTTACCTTGGCCTTCTGAGGTATATGATACTGGCGGAGGCTAACAGGACAAGCCCCAAGTTTTAATTCAATATGTATGGGTGGAATATTACGAGCAAGTCCTGGAGGATTGTTTTCTGCCCATACTCCTGGAATATCAAATAATGATCCATCACTCTTTGGGTTCGGGGTTACTAATGCAGAATACAGACGCCATTCTTCTTCTTTTGGCATCAATACAGCTGACATGCCTGGTGATTTATTAAACTGCAGGGACGTTGATCCATGGGGTAGAAATGTTATCTGTACTTGAAGCTTTGATAGAAGATCTCATCCTAGAAGTTGAATTGGGCACTCAGGCATATATAGGAACTGATGTTAAACAAGATTGCCCCCTAGTGTACAAGTACGATTCCTGAAAACCAGTCTGATTGCTTCTTTCCCAGTAGCTCCTATTACAGTAACAGTCTTTCCGGAAGGAGGAGCTATGGGTGCTGAACAACAAAATGTTCAGCACCCGTATCAATCATGAAGGGACTTTTATTTTCCCCTATTGTTTGTTACTTCGACCATAGGCTCCGCTCTTGCTGATATGCTTTAAAATGGGTCATATCAGCAATGTTAACGTTCCAGTTGGCATCCGTATTAGGGAAATGGGCAGCGGCCCAAGCTGCCGGGCAGTTTCTTCAAGAGCTTTAAGAGACACTTGATTAATATAGGTTCTTTCTTCAGAACTGAATAGAGTTAATAGTAACTGCTGATAATCGGCCCATGTAGGATTATGGGTTTGAATGATTGATGTAACCAAATCAGTCATAGCTTGTGGTTTGTCCGTATATGAAGGGTTATGGGTCTTCCAATTAAACAAAATCGGTAGTAGTAAAGAGAACGTATACAAATATGGGGTCTCCAAATTGCAACTGGCCATTGCCATCAATATGTGTTGGGCCAGGAGTAAGTCAGAGGGGCATTTGTAATTGCCAGGGTTGAAGGGCACCAGTCGTCATGCATGTTAAAATGGGACTACGGACATTTGTAGAACACTGTGATTTAACAGGTTCCGGTTGCGGGGGTGGAGTTGAGGCCTTTGTGGACAAACGAGTTCTGGCAACCATGAGGCGGCATTGTTCCTCGTGGCATAACTTGATCCATTTAGGCTGTTTTTCAACTATTTGCTTCCAACAATGAATATACGGAAAACGATCATAAAGCCCTCGCCTACTAGTTATAATTGTATGAACTTGCAGTACTAAATATGGATCAAGACTGCCACGGGAGGGCCATTGGGTTACCAGAACAGCCCATTCTCTGCTACACAGAGTATTTAAACTTTTGGGGGACAGCGTCACACCATTATCCCTTAGCAAAATTTCTCAACATGCTCGATAATGGATCCGCAATTTTTGAATCAGAAGCACCCATTATTGCAACAGATAGTCTGGTTCATAGCAATACAAATAAGATCGGCACACAAAGCCCCTGATCAGTAAAGTGTCACGGCTGCCTGGACAAAAACACACACAGTCACAGGATCCTAACTCGTTTTACTATATTAATGATGTCTCTCAAATACAGAACAGGATTAAAACCTACCAAAAGCTATACAATTATCTATACAGTTAATCAACATCTAAACCACCAGATCACCCAATATTACTACAACCCCGTATCAAAAGTCAGTGGTTATATTGTCGGTGGTTATGGTGACAGGTGTAATTAAACACTATCTACCCTTCAAAAGTCAGCTAAACAGCATATACATCAAAATTTAGCAAGACATACACATTATCAACCAGAGCTAGGCTAGACAATATTTACACCAGCTAAATATATATAAATGTATATGCCAGAGTTCAGCTAAATAATATATACGCAAATTTATGCCAGAGTCCAGCCAAACAATAATCTTCAGAAATGTTGAACTAGCTGTACAAAATTTACACAGAGCTCAGCTTTTTCTACTAACTCCAGGATCCGCACTCTAATTGAACGACAACTAGATACCGGAATTCAATCCAGACTAGAACTTTGGAAACCAAACACTATTCTAAACCAGACCCTATTCTAAACTATTCCAAACAGCCCCTAGTCTAAACAGGATCTAGCAGATTAAATTTTGGAAACTTGGATCTTACTGAACAGAATTTTTACACAATGTCCAGCTAGTCGTACGTTTCCAAACCAGCCTCTAGTCTAAGCCTATACTAAACCTATTCTGAGCCTATCCTAAACTATTCTATAGAGCCCCTATTCTAATCTAACTGAACTAGAGTTCATACCAAGTTCAATTAGTTATATGCTTCCAAAACCAGAACAGACATTACAGCCAAAACGGTCTAGCTACAGAGCGTTTAGCTAAAGAGGTGATCAGCCCCTTCTTTCCAGTGGGAAAAGGCCAGAACAGATTTTACCCCTAGTGGGTGTACCTTTAGTTCTTGGACACGGGGTCAGAATTCATAGACGGGACACCATGATACCCACTGTGCAGAAGCTGATGGTCTCCTGGAAAAAGAAGGCCAGTGGCGCAGAGACGAAAGGAGGTCCACACAGTCTCGGTCCAGGGGTGTTGCCATGGAGAGGTGGGTGAAATATCACAGTCTTGGCGGTCGCTGTGATGATTTCCTGGCCAAAGCACCAGAAATTTAATAGCAGAACTCTGAAGAAGCAACGCTCAGAGAGTCCAGACACAGCTCCGTTCAGGAAGCAAAGATCTTTATTTTCACCAATCGGATCTCAGCTGAACTCATGTCCAAAATGTCTGATCACTGAGCACATGGAGTAGAGGCATTTTATAGACATTACATCCTCCATCGGTACCGTTACACCAATCAGCAAACAGGATTACCTTATATCGACAGGCAGCATGGAACTTAGGAGAGAATGTAATGTGGTTTCATTTCTTGCACATGCTCAGTACATTGATTACCGTGTCCTGACTACGTGTAACTAACAGATACATGTGCTTGTATATGCCATGTGGAGATTTTAGGCCTAGCTGAGATCCCCTTACAGTGCCTGGCTGACTTCAGGTAACGAGGAAAAATGTTCTAGATTTGTTCGACTACTTACAATGGGAGGATGCCTGAGCAATCCTGGCATCATAACCACTAAAGTGTGCTGAGTGGTTATGGTGTTTGAAGAGTTCCTTTAAAAAATTCCTTTAAAATAATAAAAATAGTAAATGTTCTTGAGATAGAATGAACCTTTGGTTTCTAGCAGGGTCATATTGACTTAGGTATCTTAGTGATATCAGTGTCAACCACTCAAATTTTTATTTTCTAGCAAAGTAAAACCTTTGGAGAATGGGATGAAAGTACAATCTGTACTGAAATAGCCACGCACAATACCAATTGTAACCAGTAGTCAGCAAACATGGGATAATCATAAATCAGTTGTGTACATTTTAATGGAAAACAGGCCAAAAATATTTAGGCATTTTATTAATTTCAGCTGCAAACCAGAACACTGTGCAAGAAGAGTTTTTCATGAAAGGATACATCAAGAAGCCCTTAATTTTTGCTTTTATTCTTTTATTGATCGCATAGCAACAGCAATCAGAGGAAGGATAAGAGGATTCCATACACAGGTTTAATATTTCCATGGCCAAGGCAATCTGATATTCTGGCATTGCACCAGTACGTGTGCAGCTGTATTTGCAAGTTTAAAAACCAAACCCAAAGTAAAATTGATAAATTGATTTGTAGTATAAATTGTGAATATAATACACTGACTGAAATAGCCATGTAGGTTTTTCCTATGCCTTGTATATAGAAAATATAGTCCACCACAGACGCATAGTTTAACTGTTGTGCACATAAAATCCAACTTCATTAGTCTATCAATAAGATATCCATCACAAACAGGACATAAAACGCTCCAACCATGTAGCCCATGCCAATCTAAGTGTTTTATAGCACTCAAAGCAAGAAATGGATACACCAACGTGGGCTACGGGATCTAATTTATTGTCCTGTTTGTGACAGATATTTTAAAGATGGATTAAGAACACTGAATTTTATGTTAAGTTCACAACAATTGAGAAATTTGTCTATCACAGACGATATTTTCTGTATACATTGTTGTATTTTTTTTGTGGGAAGGACCACTAATTTAGCTCCAGGATGGAGATTCGGTGGAATTGGATTTAAACATCAACACTGATCAAAGTGTGATTACTCCTTAAAATCAAGAATGTATTGTTACTGGTTCTAGTTTCCACCACCCCCCCCTTCTCCTATGCCATGCCACAAAGCATGACTCAAATACATCAATCTATTTCTGTACTCATACGGAGTAGCAAATGTCCCATTTTTAGAGTTTTTTCACAAAGATCCGTGGGATTGTTAAAAAAACAAAAAACGGAAACACACCAATCATTACCTCACCAGACTCTGCATTGTATCATCTCAGAACTATAATCTAATTGTGACATTTCACAAATTCCAAAGTGCAGTCCCGGAAATTAACTTTAAAATATATATATATATGATTAATGTTTTTCTGCTCCTGATCTAAACCCCTTATATGTAATATTTAACAGACCCAAAGCTAGTACATTGAAATAGAGAGGAGTAAAATGGTTGTAGCACATGGAATTCCCACTTGTCGCCCCTATAGTTTTGGAAACCATAGACCATTTAGATTCACATATAAAAAGCACATCATCAGAAGCAACTCTGGGGCAACATTCTAAAAGTGGTGCACTCACTATCAAAACCATTGTACTTATCTGTTGCCTTTTACAAGAGCTGTAAGACATACACAAAGTGTATCATGGCCTTCTCTCTTTTCAGACTTTGAATATTGCTCACTTGACTTCAACCCCCTTAAGAACACAATTAATAACCCATTAAAGATTGCAATCTGCTCTCTTTAAAGACCCTCTGGTACTATGGCATGACCTGCTTATTTTATTCCACTTTGATACAAATCATCTTTTTAAAGACCCTTTTTATTTTTCTATTTTGGGTGTCATTTATATTTATGTGTGTCATTTTTTTCTTGTCACTCAGCATTTCCTATAGAACAGTATAGCGGTATAACAAAACAAAAAGTTCTGTTAGTGTCAGAAAACAGTGGTTCCTAAATCCATTTGATGGCATTGTGCAGAGTAAAATATATAGAACATCTACATTTTCTAGGTAAAAGGCAAAACTTTTTAAAGTCCGCATATTTTAAGATTTATAAAATATTGAAGAGAAGCAATCGTACTTTTAGTTTGTCACCCACCTTTTGTTTTCTAGACAAATTGTGGTACATGACAATGGAGATCTTGTGGTATACTTGCATATTAAAAACAAAAAAAACCAAACACAGTGACTGACAGATTGTGACAATTCACTCTTATAATAGGTCTAATTTATGGCCAAGAGGAAAGAAAAAGCAATATATAAATATTCTTAGGCTTTGCGCGCAGCGTTGCCAGAGTGATATAAACTCCAGCCACAATAATATCCACCAAGAAGGAGCACATCACTGGTCTAACGCAAAAGACAATAAAACTGATTTTCTTAGAATATTATACAGGTCAATATTTCCAACCACCATGACTACTTCAGTGATTTGAAGTAGTCCTGGTGGTAGTAGTATGTATGTGCAGGGTTTCTGCTTGAAACAGTGCACACATGGGGTTAGATTTTTGGGGTTACTCGGACCCTCAACACATGTTATTAGACAGCACACAACACTGTTCCGGGCTGCCTAAAGTCAGTTCTGCACTTATTTTACGTCTGTTGTCAGACTTAAAAATCTTACAGTACTCTATATCTGGCCAGTTCCCCAAAAATATAATTTTACATTAGGACTAGGACAATGATAAAACACTGGTTCCACTTAAAAGCCAGATGGACATGTGAAATCCACATCAATGTGAGAAAAGTTCCTCTTATGAAAGCAGAGTTTCAATATGCCTACACATTAGAACAGGATGTATGTTTATAACCTTTGAAGGTTGGAAATGTGCACTAACAGGCAATACTATCTTCACATAGCAAACATGAAACCATTCACTCTGAGAAAACATGTTGCTTACAGACTGTATCGTAGCCCAGGAATGAGAATTACCCCCATGATGGCATACCATTTGCAAATGAAGACAACCCAGGGTATTCAATATGGGGTATGTCCAGGGCCAGATTAAGAGCCCAGTGGGCCTGGTGCTGACAATACAGACGGGCCTAATTACAGAATCATATCGACCAAAAACAGTAAAACACTCCCAAGCATCATGTATCTGATGGAGATGGTGCTGGAGAGAAAGAAAACAGCAGCTATAAGAAACACATACCCTAGGCTAATCTCTCACTAATTTATGTTTTCATCTTTCAAGTAAATCCATAACCCCTAACAGCAGTGTCCAGTCAAGCAGGAAGTCAATGGGCACGGTAAAAGGGTGTGCCACTGACACAAATCACGTGACCTGCCAAAAGGGGCGAACATGCCTAAAAAGAGGGAATGTCTGCCAAAAGAATTAGAAGGCCAGCCTGGCATGAATGCATGTCAGGCTGCCTTCCAATCATGCAGCTGGCCAACTAAGGGCATACTATGCAGACAGCACCCTGAGCTTGGCATAAATGCATCTAATGATGCGCTCACTCAATGCTTTCTAAGGACTGTTTCCTAGCACTTGCTGGTCTACTTGTCTTCTTACCTTCTTACTAGCAGGCAGAAGCTCCTGGTATATAGTCTGGGACAGAGAAAAGCTGTATGTAGTGAGTGTAGAAGAAATGGAACATGCCACAGTGTTAGAGAGACCAAAGTCAGCATTACCTTAAAGGATCACTATAGGGTCAGGAACACAAACATGAATTCATGACCATATAGTGTTAACACCACCATCTATCCCCCCTGGGCCCCTCATGCCTCCATAAATATAGAAAAATCTTACTATATTCAAGCCTGAAGCTGTAACTCTGCATGCTGTTAGACTCATAAAAACAAGCAGTCTGCTGACATCATTAGAAGTGGTGGCCTGATCCAATCACAGTGCTTCCCCATAGGATTGGCTGAGACTGACAAAGAGGCAGATCAGGGTCAGAGCCAGCATGATTCAAACACAGCCCTGGCCAATCAGCATCTCCTTATAGAGATGAATTGAATGAATTAATCTCTATGAGATAAGTTCAGTGTCTGCATGCAGAGGGAGGAGACACTGAATGTTTGGATGCATGTTAGGCAGCCATGACCCAGGAAGGATCTCTAACAGCCATCTGAGTGGCCAGTGAAGTAATCACTAGGCTGTAATGTAAACACTGCATTTTCTCTGAAAAGACAGTGTTTACAGCAAAAAGCCTGACGGTACTGATTCTACTCACCACATACACATACATTCTACTCACCAGAACAAATTCAATAAGCTGTTGTTGTTCTGGTGACTATAGTGTCCCTTTAACTATATTCATTGTCGGCCAGTCCATACAAGTTTGGTTCCCATACATCCCTCTTAAGTTTCCATACTTAAGTAAGAGTATGTGAAAAGTAGTTAGGGTTGCCACCTTTCTTGGAAAAACATACGGGCCTTACTAATTTGCATAATTAAATATGTATGGGTGACATCACATGATGTAAATCACAAGGAGTGACATAAGAGAAAATGCTGTAAAATCACCAAAAAACTACTTAGTTTGATTCTGCTGTATAGATGGATTCCTCCCAGTGCCCCCAGTGCCCCCATGTGTCGATTACTCCAGGTCTCAGTGTTCCTATGTATCACAGTGTCTCAATGCCCCATGTCTCCCTGTGTCCCCATGTATCCCAGGGTCCCCATGTCACTAGGACACTAGGAAGACGGGGAGACCTGGGGACACAGGGAGACCTAGGGACACGGAGACACCAGTGACACTGGGAGACTAGGGGACTCTGGCTGGGACACATGGGGACAATGGGAAAATAGTGGACACTTGAAGACATGGGGACACAGACACTAGAGACACTGGCTAGGGGACATTGAGACATGGAGGCAATAGGAGACATGGGGACACTGAGACACCAGGGCCACAGACACTAGGGACACTAGCTTGGAGACATGGGGACATTGTGACACTTGAGGCACTGAGAGACATGGAGGCACTATGAGATATGGGGACAGTGAGACACTGGCAGACTGGGGGCACTGGCAGACTGGGGTCACTGGGAGACTAGGGGGCACTGAGACACCAGGGACACTGGCTGTGTCATAATGTCTCCCAATGTCCCTTAGTGTATGTCTCCTTGCAGTCTTTCACCCCATCCCTTACTTCCCTGAGCTGTAGGCTGTCTCTGCAGGGTGGGAGTTGCTGTCTGGACTCTCTGTAGCTGCACCCCTGCAGATCAGTGAGTATAGATAGGCAGGGAGGGATATGCTGGAACTTCCTATCCCTGCCTGTCTCCACATACAGCGACCACTACTGGCCAGTGCTGGTATTGCAGAGTAATCTCCATTTATACTGAGAAAAATACCAGCATTTGTATTGCCAGTATCACTGCAATATTGGTACCAGCCAGGCAGCCTCAAATACTGGCTGTGCCAATAAAATAAAAGCCAGGTGGAATCCCTAAGAGTAGTGAGTGGAAAAAAAAAATGTGAAAAAATTTTTTTTTTTTTTTTTTTTTAAATCAGTGGGCCTATTCCATGGGCCTGGGCCTGGAGCTGCAGCTCCATCAGCCCCTATGTTAATCCGGCCCTGGGTATGTCCAGTCTTTTTAGTAGCCTCTTAGTTAATGGCCAAAGTTAGCATTTATATTTGTTTGGGTGTTAAAAAATGCAAAAAAACAATTATGAACGTAAACTTTGGCCAGTGTTTGTGACTAAGTGGCTACTAAAAAAGAGTAAACATACTCCATTTGCAAAACTTTGGGTTATTTTCTTTTGCAAATGGTATGCCATCATGGGTGAAATTCTCATTCCTGGGCTACCATACGCTCTTAAAGGCAAAATAACTAATCTGGCAAATTTCAAAAAAAATGGAAATGCAAGCCTTATATTTGACCATGTAACTTTAAAAAAACCAAAAACTATAAAACCTGGGGGTACTGTTATACTCGGGAGACTTCGCTGAACAGAAATATTAGAGTTTCAAAACAGTAAAACGTATTACAACAATATCAGTGAAAGTGCAGTTTGTGTGAAAAAAAATAAAAAAAATTATATATATATATATATATATATATATTTTACTTTCACTGACCATATCGTTGTGATACATTTTACGGTTTTGAAACACTAATATTTGTATAGCAAAAAAACAAGTCGCAAGAGAGAGTGCTGAGGACGGACAACAGCTCAATTAGCCTGCCCTTCGGTGGATGCCCGCTCAGTTAACGATCGTTTCAGCCTTGTTAGGCATCATCAGTGAGGCATAGCTGATATCTCTCTAGGCACCGTGAGCAAGGGGCTCATGGTGCCTAGAGAGATATCAGCTATGCCTCACTGATAATGCCTAACAAGGCTGAAACGATCGTCTGGGGTTGCTGTATCTCTCGTGCAGAGAGAGCCGGCCCGTATTTTGGATCTGTTCTGCCCTTTTGGGTGGAACCAGTCTGAGATGCATGGTCTGGTTCTCTTTGTAATGGCACAAGATGAGCTAAAACCAGCTTGAGAACTGAGCGGGGACCCACCGAAGGGCAGGCTAATTGAGCTGTTGTCCGTCCTCAGCACTCTCTTGTGACTTGTTTTTTTTTCTCTCACTAATATTTGTATTCAGCGAAGTCTCCCGAATAAAACAGTACCCCCATGTACAGGTTTTAGGATGTCTTGGAAAGTTACAAAGTTAAATATAGTGCTAGCAAATTAAATTTTCTGGACTTTCTGCCTGGGTTGTCAAGCAGGTCCCTCAAATTTGAATCAATAAAATTACTTAATTATGTAAAATATTACATAAATATAAACAATAATCAAGCTACTGGACTAAAAGTCCAGACACCAGAGTATAACCTGGAGATCTAAAGCAGATGAAAATAATAATACATCCAATATTAAAGATGTAGTAATTCTTATATAAGAATGATGACAGTACACCTATATATTCCCAAACCAAAAATCAGAAACAACTGGAAATTTAAAAAGTCAAATGGCTAACCTCCAATAATCCTAGGTCAATAGGTATAATTTATAGTAATTCAGACTCCTGACTTTAATTCTAATCTGTAGGTCAACGTCTGAAAACTAAGGAACTCAATAATTATACACATGCAAATAGACCTAGGAAGTTGGTCGAGAACCAATACAAATTGTGCACCTTAAGAAAACATAGGTAGCCTAAATACTAAATCCTCAGACCAAAGAGGAACTACCTTATAAAAGTCTAGGGACACAAATGAACCCATCGAGGGGAGTGAAAAAGCTAATAACCTAATGTAAAATGCTCAGAGGACCATACAATGTGGCTACAAATTACTTAATATATTTGTGCATACTATACAAATTAGATACACTGGCGCTATGTTGCCACTATGCCTATTAATGGACTGAGCCTGTGGCCATAAATAGGCTTAAACTGTAAAAAATTACAGACAATTCTCCAAAGTGGGGTCACTAAATGCACAGCCCTTCTTAACTAATCAGTCCTCAAGATAGTCACTCAATAAACCAGGTTCTGGACCGGTTAGGAGGTAAAGAATAGCGCGTTTCGGTGCTTCAGTAGTGCACCTTCGTCAGGGGCCCCTGGGCTGTCAGGCAGATGGTGGAATGGTGGCGATCGGGTAAGTAATAAGGATGGCGGTGACATTCTATGCTTCCCGCCGGCATTCAGAGCCACCCCAAAAAGGATGGCACAGAACGCCCGCCGTCCTTAAGGGGTTAAAACTTTCAGGAAAAGGAGTAAGCAACACAACGTTTCTTACACAAAAATTGTAAACCTGAACTCACATTCCATTATTAGAAAGACTTGCATATGGGCCAGACAGCTTGCCATCAGAGTAACCCGAGAACATTAAAAAGGAATACTCCAATGTAAAAAAGATTTTAAAAAATTTAACAATGCTTAAACATTTAGTAGATAAGCCCCCAATGAAAACATGCAAGGATTTATTGCTGCATTTTAATTGTATTAGAGTTCTATAATAAAACACTGCAGATCTGCTGTATGTAGCCATAACAAACCCTCCCCCTTTTCCCCCCAGCACAGATTGCCAGGAAAATGAATCAGATGCTTCTCAGCCCAAGTCCTCCAGGCTGCCAGACAGAAAATCTGTGGAGGTCTAAGATGGGCACTTAGTACTCTGAGCTGATAGGCTCACTTATACTTGGGGGAGAAGGCAGGTACACTCTAGCAGAGCATGCCTGCCACTTCCATTAGCTTAGTGGACCTAACGATTTGGAAAGAAAACCTCAGGTAGGTGTTACTGAAGTTATTTCTAAAAGTGTGGATTTCAAACAGAAATATGCACTTTAATAAGCTACACACACTCCTCACTTACCAACCAGGTTCAGTTTTTTACGACTTGGTCGGTAAGTGAGAAGTGCAGGTCTATGTTCGGGAAAATTTCCCCGAACATAGACAAGTGCAGCAGAGCAGGGAACCCCTCAAATCTATGTTCGGAGAACATTCCCCGAATATAGATTAGATGGATTACCTGCTCTGGTGCGTTTTTGTATGTTTAGGGAAATTTCCTCGAACATAGATTAGAGGGAGTCCCTGCTCTGGTGCGCTTGTCTATGTTTGGGGTATGATTACCAAATTAAACATCACTATAGGCAATGCCTGTTCCTCCAATCACCAACAGTTGGAACAGGTATGCCTTTAAAGCATCCACAAATTGAAATGGGAGAAAAAAAGACAAAAAAAAAACACAACACTTTTTCCTCCAACTAAAAACAGAATCGTGAGGTTCCTTGAAAATATATCTTTGAGAATAAACCCCCCAAAAAAAAAAAAAAAAAAAACAGAACAAGGAAAGAATAGCCGCATCTTTTTACCCTTCCCCCTCTGATCCAAGAGGTACAGATTGCCTAAAATGTCATATGTTGAGCCGTATTTCCGAACTCCTTCCATAAAAACAAGGTGGGTCCATTTCCTTTTAGAACAATACTTCAAGAACCTGAGAAACATCTTATGTTTATTTAAGCCGAACACCACGTTTGTCTTGCACTATTGAACTTTATAAATCAATAGCTGAACTGCAACATGGATCAGATATTGGAGAACCCGAAATGCAATAAACTAATGTTTATATGGGAAATACATTCAATTTGCAAACAAAACACCTTCCAGCTGGAAGACTAAAGTCACAATCTAAGACTGTATTATTATTCAGGCAAAAATATTTTATGTGCCATAGCACCACAAACTGAATGGCAAGATCTGCTTCTAGTTAAGGTTTTCTATATCTGTGACAGAAAAATAAATAAAAATTAACAATTAAAAAATGCATGTTAACAATACATCAGCCACTGCCATTTAAAGGGACACAAACACCATAAACTATGCACCTTCCATGGTCCATTGGCTATGTTATGAAAATAACAGTGCAATAGAAGCCCCCCTCTGTGAATAAAATGTGTGCAAAAGGTTTAAATATTCATCCCATAATGTTCTGTAGAAGCTCAGAAATCCCCTTAAAAAAAAAAAAAAAGCTAAAACTGTCTGAATAATTTCTGCCACTTCCTAATCAGAGTGCTCATTGCATACTTAAAGGACCACTATAGTGCCAGGAAAACATACTCGCTTCCGGCTCTGGAAGGGGGAAAGGGGTAAAAACGTACCTTTTTCCAGCGCTGGGCGGAGAGCTCTCCTTCTCTCCTCCTCTGTTCCACCCCGTCGGCTGGCTGCGCGCGCATTCAGCCGGTCACATAGGAAAGCATTTACAATGCTTTCCTATGGACGCTGGCGTGCTCTCACTGTGAAAATCACAGTGAGAAGCACGCAAGCTCCTCTAGCGGCTGCCAATGAGACAGCCGCTACAGGAAATAGGGGAAGGCTTAACCCATTCATAAACATAGTAGTTTCTCTGAAACTGCTATGTTTATAAATAAAAATGGGTTAACCCTAGAAGGACCTGACACCCAGACCACTTCATTAAGCTGAAGTGGTCTGGGTGCCTAGAGTGGTCCTTTAAGAGATTTACTGCAGCTTCTCTCCCCCCCTCCAATATTCTCTTTACACAGTTTATTGTAGTGATTATAGTTACAGTGCAGAGTGTATTGGTGGAAATCCCCAACACGCTCTGCTGTTCATGTTGGATTGGCTTTGAAAAGTTAATGTAGATGTTTCAGGGTGAGAGCTGAGGGTCCAATATTTGGCTGTAGAAGAAGCAGAACTTCAATAAGCTACGGCGCAACCCTTTACTTTGTTATGCATTATACTGCATTAGATTGGGTGTCAATGGAGTGCCTCTTTGAAAAGTTTCTACATAGAAAGCATTGTTAAAATTCAAGGAGTAATTTTCACACTCACAATATTTCTGAAAACCACTAACTGAATTATTGCACGGATAAACATTTTACCAAAATGCCCCCCCCAAAAAAACAAAAAACACTCACTAACTTTTGAATTGCTCTTTAATTTCCGATCATTTTGGTATTCTGTTATTTGAAAGAGGAAAAAACCCTCAAACGAAATAAAACAGAAAAAAAAAACTGTAATGTAACCATGCAAAGAGATAACTTGTGGAGCTTTGTACTAAATATTTCTTAATTGGGCATGTAGTGATAGAGTGACGCCAGAAACTTTTAGCGTAGCTTAACATGTGTCCTGCAAAGGTCATAGGTAGCTTTCAGCAGAATAACAATTGTCCCACACTGGGGATAGGTCTTTAACCATGTCATATATAAGAAAAAAACCAACGTCAGGGTATCATTTTACCTGCACAGAGATCGTAACTAGCATGTAACGGAATAGCCATATTCCCACACATGGGATGGATCATTAACATTGCAGTATATAGGAAAAGCCAGGGTCGAGTTATCATGGTGTCAATCATGCTATGTGTGTCGTTGTAACCCATGTCTGTATTTGGTGTGGATAGGTCCACCTCGTGTTCTTCTGATGAGAAGTGTTAACATCTGTTTACAGTAGCATAGCATTGGTATGGGGGCATTGCGGGAAGTGTGGTATTGCTTAATGTACCAGGGTCGTTTGGGGCTCCTTCGCGTTTTATGTATAGTCCCTAGGGTTCAGATTCCAAGAGTGCTGTGGTGTTAGCCCGTGATCTACTTCACTACTTGTGTGCATCTTGGTCATCTAGTATTATGGCCTCCTGTGCTAGGTGGCTGTGCACAGCCTGTCGAGATCGAGACGTGGTCAGGAGTCCATGGTGTTAGATTGGTTGTGTTAGGTCTGGGCTGGGAGCAGGTTGTAGGTGAGGCAAGGTGTAGGTGGGGGGTGTTCCTCGCCCCCTGGTTGCCACTCCAGCCCACCCTACCCAGAGTTCCCCTCCCGTTTCTCCCCGGTCTGCGTGTCTCACGTCTGCCTGCTGCCGCTCACGGGTCAGCCATGCATTGTGCAAAGTTGTCCATGGCGGTGTGGTGTAGCCAGTGGAAACATCTCTCTGTATACCTGTCTTTCAGTGTTGCGACCTTTAGGTCTTCGAATTTCCTTGTGTCCACCACCTCACTTGTGGAACTTTGGGAAAAGGGCAAGTATTACATTACTCTGCAACAAAGTTTACCTATTGTGCCACGCAAGTCACACATGAATATTCTAGGTAACTAGCAACTACACAAAACAGGGACATTAAGACATCTAATTTTTTTTTTTTTTTTTAAAGGCACCCAGTCCATTGAGTGAAAATGGTCTGAGTGCAGTGGCCTTTTAGTTTTAACCCTGCAATCTAATACATTGCCACTGCATATGTATAGGTAATTGCCTGGTTAACACACCACTAGTGGCTACATTCACAGGCAGCAGACAAGATTCTGTGGAAGAACAGTCACAACTGTTATTCAAATGACTCAGTGTTTAATTGGCACATCATGGAATTTTTCTAGTTCAGCTACTTTGACCTGAAAAGCACTAATGAATCACCTGTAAATCTTAACAGAAGAATACTTGGGAGTACAAGTGACACAGGCTGAGCAAAAGATCTGACAGGTGAGGGGGAAGTACTAAGTCACTTCAGGAGTAGGTCTGACCAGAGGCCTCAGACCAACACTGGCATGAGAGGTAGCCAAAACTTCTGCACTTAACCTCTCCCAGAACTCAGCAATTCATCTTATTTCTGCCCTTGGGCTGGCAAAACTATTGTCAACCTATTACACAGAATACCCATGGAAGCTTTAAAGGGACACTCGAGGCACCCAGACCACTTCAGCTAATTGAAGTGGTGTCTGGGTGCTGTGACCCTTTTGCACTAAAACATTGCACTGTAAAACATTGCAGCTTTAAGTCTGTCCTTTGTGGCTAACAGACACTCACTAGAGAGCTTCTGGAATTTAAACAGACCTTTGGTCTGTTATCTGATGCTAGATGTCCTCACGGACCTCCAGTGTCAGATTTTCCCCCATAGGAAAGCATTGAATAATGCTTTCCTATGGGGAGGTCTAATGCACGTGCATTAGGTCTCCCCCGCCGGTTGACATTGATGGGGAAGTAGCCAGACCCAGTGCCGAGGGACATTGGATTCAGGTAAGTAACTGGAGAATCCCTTTAAACTTTTGAAATGGTCTTATGCAACATGTTACAAACCACGGCCAGCTCCTATGATCTGAAATATACCAATGAATGAAGATACACCATTCTTGACTCAGGGCATCAGCTTGATTTGTCTTAGTCCTTTATCAAAAGATATGCTACACTGTACCAGAGTGTGGTTCCTTATTCAACCTAGGACCAGCTCTATCAGAGGAAACTCAGGAAAGCGTAAAAAAACAAAACCATTCTAAAAACAGCAGAAACGCTTCAAAGTATGTGTAAATATTAAAGAAATCGAGTTTTTCCCATTATATTCAAGAACTAAAGACAGAAACAGATTCTAAAAGGCAGAAGTCCGTTATTTACTCAAGTGGGAATTGTTAGAAATTCAAAATTAAGCAGTATCTACAAAGCGCCAACATATACCACATCGCTGTAGGTAGACCAACAAGTTGTTGGACATACAGGAACCGTAAAAGCTCACGGTCCTAATCAAACAATGTTACGTTATAGTTTCAAATTTAAAGGTCAAAGAAGCAAACTTCATTTGAAAGTTTCCCCTTCCCCCCCCCTTTTTTTTTTTTTTAAACCTCAAGTTTGAAACATACTTTGAAATCCAAACAATTCTCAATCTAGAGAATACTCGAGTGTTTCATCTCTAGCAAGTAACATGTTTAGTAGATACCTATTTGCTGACCCCTACAGGATACTAGTGAAATTGCAGAAACACTTTTTACGGCTTTAGTGTAAAAACAAAAAACGCTTTTATATTAGTTGTAGTGATAAAATGCAATTATTGTAAAGTGTATGTGTGTGTGTATATATATATATATATATATATATAATCTAAAATTGGAACATTCTATAGTTTTACATAAAGAGACTGTTCCACATTTAGAACTGCACTCAAGTAAGTCACGTTGTACATAACCCCCAACGCCTACTCTATCAAGGTCTTTTGTACAAGATCAGTTCTGCCTTAGAATCAATTACAAAGGGCCATGATATGGTGGTATAAAAAAGGTTTTATAGGTGATATTACAATTTACTGCAATCTTACTTTTGCAGATTTCCCAGCATAATTTTTTTTTATTGAAAATACAAGATTACATATATTATAACCTATATTATTTGTAGTGAACACACAGGTTTATATCATCTTTGGGCTATGTGATCCTTTAGTTAGAGGACTTCTAAAAATGGCCATCCACAAAGAACCATGCATAGTTTGAACTTTTGAATCTTAAAATGCAATTTCTTAATACGGGGACTTAATCAGGATTGGCAGAGACTCACTAGCGGTTTGTTACAGAAACAGGAGTTAAAAAAAAAAAAAATCATTTAAAATATGGCTGCTACACAGACTTAAGTGTGTACTGAAAAGAGGAAAGGCTACAAAAAGATATGGGTCAAAATACATTCATCTTTAAAAAATAAAAAAAATATGTCAAATCCAAACTTCTGCACCCATATTTTAGAGCGGTTGGGGAGCAATATGATTGCTTTTAGTAACTATTACTCAAGACCCATAACCTACTGCCCGTGAGCAATTTGCCACAATTACAAACCTACAAAATTAAGCCCTGCACTCAAACTACCATTACTCCTGGGTGGCAGCAATGACCATAGTACACATCAGCCCCAACACAATATATATTTTTTTGCACCCTACCCAAAAATCCTATGCACATTTTTAAAAACGTGACCATTAAAAAATGACCCAAAAAAACCTTAAGATATTTAAATGTGCATAGGGATTGTGCGCAAGTGACTTTTCTTTGGTTTTAACATTTGCCACAATTGTTTTCTTCTAGGCATCAGTACATGTTTAAGATACATTCTGTGGTTGCAAGGAGCATGTCACAATAAGTTGCAACAATAAGCCCAAAAGTTAAAAAGAAATCGCTCACCAAAAATATAATTTATTTAAAATTAATTCCTTTTCTGCTAGAACCAATTGCATTGTTGATTTGCTAATTAGCAAAAAGGTAATAGCTGCCTCCAGCCATAAGCGAGGCAAGTGCTTTATTTTACAACCATGCATTGTTAAGGCTCACAAGTCATGCGGTCAACCTTCTCCAAACACTGATGTCAGAATATGTGCCTGCATAGTCTTTTATAAGGACTTCCTCTAGCACACGGTTACATCTTTAAGGGATTCTATAGTGCCAGGAAAACAAAGCAGTTTTCCTGGCACTATAGAATCCTAAAGTGCCCCCCTCTCTTCCTCAGGGCTGAATGAGTTAAAACCCCTGCAGTCACTTACCTGAATCCAGCGCAGATGTCCCTTGGCGCTGGATCAGGCTCCGCCCACCCTCCCATTGCCACGCATGCGTCTGCCCCGCCAGCTGGAGAGATCTAATGCGCTTGCCAGGAAATGGTCACACTCACATTAGAATTTCCCCCTATGGGAAAAATAAATAAATGGATATGACGCGTGAAGGCGTCCAGCGTCAGATACCGGACCAAAAGTCTGTTTCAATTCAGGAAGTCCCTCTAGTGGCTGTCTGGTAGACAGTCACTAGAGATGGAGTTAACCCTGAACAGTAATGATTGCAATTTCTCAATAACTGCAATAATTACTATTGCAGGGTTAAGGGACATTGCACCCAGAATACTTCAATGAGCTAAAGCGGTTTGAGGGCCTACAGTGTCCCTTTAATGAAAAATGTTTATAAAATTTGAGCACCTAGTTTTGAGTTATAAATGTACCTTTAAAGCAAACAGTGTTTGTGTGTGTTTTTGTTAAGTAAACATATCAGCAACTTATCTAGTACAGCTCTTTGTAGCTGCAATGTGGCTGTGAGCCATCCAGTATTATGTCAAACCATTTAGAAGAGGCTTGATAAACCTGGAACAGTCCACCACAGACTAACTCCTTCACAACCACCTTGAGAATGTGGAACACTTCTGCATTTTAAAAGTCAACTTCAACCAACCTAGACAACAATCACTGGCTGAGAGAAATTGGATGGGTTAGATCAGCATGCTGAGACAATCAATGTTGAGAAGGAGGCAGCCCGTGGGCGCTGTAGAGTGTCTCTTTAAATCATTTCTAAATAGTTTTATGTAAAACCATGGTCCAGAAATTTGAGGCGACATAGCATTACACTGAGTAGTAGAAGTTTTGTTGCCTAAGTTGTGCCTTTAACTGAATGTTAGCTGCTAAAACAGCAATTTTGAATAGATTACTTTTTTAGGCTGGCATTAAAAAGAAATGCTTTTTTGTGGAAGATTCCTATTTTCAACTGCAGTAAACGTGCCAAATGCTCAAGTGTTTATTCAGTGAACTGAGAAATTCTAGAAAATTGAAAAGTAATTGCAAATATTGGGTAATAACAGAATTATCTGTCATTACTATGCAGTTCAGGTTTGCTTGCTTGACACACAGTAACAGGCAGCCTGGTGTCAATATTGTCTCAATACCATGTGTATGACCCTTAATCACAGAGTAAAAAACAAAACAAAAAACAAGAATTAGATATACAAGAAAGATGTACTTCTAGAAGATTACCAACCAATAAGATTGTGCTCTATCGAGCACAATTGTTTATTTTGTATAGTTCAAATTGATTCCAAGCAAACAAGGGAAAAAAAATAAAATAAAATCCTACATTCAAAAACAGCAACTCAGCACAGCCTGAGACTTTTATCAGCACCTTATGATCAATTCAGTCTGAAAAAGAAAACTTAAAAAAAAAAAAAAAAAAGGAAAAGTGATCATATAGGGCCAATGCATTTTGCCTCAATGCCGCTCCATTCGGATAATGAAATTTGGACACTGGCTGATTGAATTTGAAAGTGGACAAGAGAAACACCAAATCACGTTAAAGAAACATGTAATGTGTAAGCAGGCATGGAGGTAAACTTTATTAATATTTTCTTAGATCGGACCTAAAAAAGTATCCATCCATCGATTTTGTTCAGGTCTAATCCCCTCTACTTTGCCTTCATCTAGTTACATGATTTGCTTGTCGATTGTCCTCAACAGTTGGGAAAGGAGAGAAAAGCAGAAAAAAAAAAAAAAAAAAGTGCTTATTCTAGAAACACCTTTCTATCAGTGACCATGTCAAGATACTGATATCTACTGAGAAGTGAAACAGTAGCAAACATACTGACCATAAATGAATGTAGAAAATTCATTACACCTCTGGAAGGATGACTCCAAATTAACAATCGACTACCTTAATGCTTAAAGGCCTACTTCCATTTATATTGCCCTTTTGTTAATTGCACAACAGAAAAGAACATCAGTAATAAGGGAAGATTAGGTTCTTTTTTGATCGCAAGAAACCAAACTATTAAAAAAAAAAAAAAAATTAATTTGTAAAAGTTACAAAACTGACCAAAGTTTACCTTACAAAAAGATAAGCAAGGGCATGGAAGAGAGCTGATCGGAAAACAATTCTTAAAATGATGCAAAGACCAGGCAGTTATCTTAAGGTGTCATACTTTAAATGACAAGTCTGGTGATAACGAAAAGGTAGCATAGAGAGGTCCCTGGTGGTATTTACAGCACCTAAGAACTAGTCAAAGATTTACAAAATATCATTTAAAGGTATGAGCCTTTAGGGAGGTCAAAAAAGCAAATCCACATTGGCTTCATTACTCTGCCAAACATTTAAAAAAAATAACGGCGTAAAGTAAGCATTAAAGGAGGTGTACATTTTTCAATCCTGTCACCAACCATTTACATATATATTTCTTTTGTAAGATCGCTATAGTACACATTGGCAAACTATAATCTTTTTTTCCCCACTTGCCAACATCAAGCCATTTAGAATCGTGTCACAAGTCTCTCCAGAACCACCACACTTGCTGCTAGTTGAGGTGGGAATAGTCTCGGCAGTTAGAAGGGAAAGGTGGGGGGGAAAGGGGAATGGAAAGAGGAAAAACAAAATGGGAGCTTGTTTGCGTTGACCTTTGGCACCATGAAGGGCAGGTTTCTAAACTCAAAACTGCGCTGTAGACAGGTTTCTCATTAAATGATCCGATTGGCCAAGTCAGGTACACGCAAGTTTTGGGAGATCTTGCCAAACATCCAGTAGATCAGATGTCCATTTCAAATTGAGCATCATCTCCTAAAAACAAACAGAAAAATGTAATGAGCACAAATAAGGCACAATTAGTAAATTTTAATAAAGAAAAAGGTGCAAGGACCTCAATTTTTTTTTTGCAGAGACACAAATACACTTACCAACAGCAGTCTTTCTGTCATGATTGTTTAAGTTGTTGGTTTCTACTTTGGATTCTGCTGCAACCGTAATGGGGCTGGTAACCCCAGGAATATCTGGCAAACGGCGGGGTGGAGTCTGTGCCAATGGAGAATTGCGACGGTCTAACAGAAACTTGCGATCATAAATGATCCGGGTGCCTAAGAGGGAGACAAATAAATAATCACGAAAGTTGCAGAACAGATATTGGGAATTTGCTCCAGTCAGAGAATGCCTTAACTCAAGAAAATATTTTTTTCACTTTTTTATTCCTATTATTTGGCTGAGGGGCGTGGGGTTTGGTTATTGTTGGACTATGGCATGTCAGACCAGTTTGAAGTAGCAGCATTATCAACGATAAAAATATTCGACCATCATTGCCAGATAACAGTTTAAACTGGGTCTGTCATTTTGCCCGGTTTGCAACAGATCTCATTATTTGGGCACCTCCATTTTGTTCTCCCGTGTCCACGAGGTCTGCTGTTGACCCTTCTGTGGGATTTTTGTCGACTGATTAATTATGGGTAAATTAGTTTAGCAACTGAAATGGAATTTTGCTTCAGCTCCTCCCACTTCCAAAATTTGCCAAAGATCCATTTCCCATGAGAAAAAGTAGACCCTACTTTTCCTTATGTATAAACTAAAAAGCAAAACCAGCAAAGTGACAAAGCCACTTTAATATGCTTTTGTTGCAGAATTAGAAGGTTGTTTATTTCATAGCTATAGTGATGGATTTCAATGTTGATATTATAAGAATTTAATTAGAACTGGAAAATTGCCTGCTGGTGTGCCCTGAAGACCTTGTTTGGAACCACAGTAAGAAACAGGCATATCTGCACAATATAGTCACCAGGGTTTATCCGGTCCTGTAGTACACCCCCATCTACTAGAGTTTAGAAAAATAGTATAGAAATCCTCCAGTTTACTCCATAGCAATAAAACTATTAATGTCTAGATGCTTTGAGCTATCAAAGTAGTGTGTTTTACTTGTACAGCACCTGGCCTCAAACATTTGTGTGCGCACATGTATGTGATTTAACTAGGTTCATTGCGCTGAAAATCAAAAGTGCTGCATAATTACTTATGTATCTGCAAATAAATATTAGCGGTAAATAGATGGGGGGGAAGGCCAAGGTTAAGGAACAGCATTCAGAATGCTGAGAAGTGAACTGCAACTCCCACAAAACTGTGTTTTCTGACAAGTAACTAATAATTGTAAAAACACTGAAGGTCAAGGAACACTACAGGGTTAGGAATACAAACATGTTCCTGAACATATAGTGTTTAATCCACTATTGAGGTGGCTTGCCACCTCTCCCCCCACCCCCTATATAAAGGTGAAAACTCACCTTATTTCCAGCGACAGGCGGGCCTCCGCCGCTGGTCCCACACCTGACCCGCCTCTTCGGCGATATCAGATTTGCCGTATGAGAAAGCAATGGATTGGCTGAAATGGGTAAGGAGGCGGGGCCAAATGTAGTTTCAGTCAATCCGCACCTCCTCAGAGGAAAATCCAGCGTCACCATGCAGATCGTGGAGACGCTGAATGGCAGTGCTGCCTACTGTGCAGCATTGCCCCAGAAAGCACCTTCAGTGGCGATCTGAGTGGCCGCCACTTGGAGGTGTCCCTAGCGAGCAATGTAAAACAAAGCCTTTTCTCTGAAAAGGCAGTGTTTGCATTCAAATACCTGAAGGCAATGATTATATTCACCAGAACAACTACATTAATGTAGCTGTTCTGGTGAGTATAATAGCTACCTTCAGACATTTCAGGAGGGGCCAATGCCGGCGGACCCTTGGAGAGCTTGAAATAAGGTAAGTTTTAACCCATTCTGAGGGGTTGGGGGGGGGGCCCAAGACACCTAAATTGTGGGTTTTCACTATAGGGTCAGGAAAACATGTTTGTGTTCCTGACCCTACAGTGATCCTTTAAGTGCATAAAAGGTTATGTTTAGTTTAATCTGCTCATATGATGGATATGCTTGTAAAGTGTGCTTCTGCCCTTTTTACACAACATATTAATAAATAGGAGAGTGACTGAATTAATGGTCAAAGCCAAAGCTTGCAGCTTCAGCTCTTAAAAAGCTAGGGAACACACACACACACACACACGCCTGAAATGTATAATACATGCATGCCCTTTAATTTGGAGAGGTAAAATACTAAATAATACTGAAAACAAGCCATTGTCCTTAGATGACTTTTGCCCTGGAAAAAGCATGTCACATTAAAAGGATATAAAGGATCTCCTGATACAGTTTTCTAGTTTGCTGACTGTTATCACATTAATACAATGCAAGCACAATGTATAGATAAAATGGTTACTGTAAATCTGCTGTGAAAAGTCTAACAAGTCCTGTATAATAAAGCCTCAACAGTGCAGCCAAGGCCTTTGGCCAAAGAGAGAACCCGGCTTACTCACACTGCCAACATTTAGTCAGTATCATATATGCAAGTTGGCAATTACTTTGTGTGTACTTTAAAAAAAATAAAAAATAAAAATATCAGGATAAAGAAAAGCATAACAATGTGCATGTCACGTCACTATACATGTGCAAAAAGCATCTGTGCAGGACATTGTCACATAACTCCCTATTTCGTAAAGACGGTACCCATTTTGGTCCCAAATCCCCATGTGTCCCACATGTTCCTTTTTCTAGAAGCAATTGTTGGTGCATCTGTGTGTATACCAGAGCTCCACACAAAAAAAAAAAAGTGTAAATAAGATACATTGTTTTTGTTCTAAATTGCATTTACTTACATAAATTAGTAAGTGAGCTGAATTTTTTTCAGTGAAGCCCTGCCCCTAGCCACAAGCCTACTCACACCCCTAAATTGAAAGTGTCCCTCTGTCCATTTGAAATATTAGTTGGCATGTTGCCATTAGTGTGACTTTTTAAAGGAACAGTACAACATTTGTATTCCTAGCAATAGGTTTCCCCACCTATTTAGATGCCCCCCCCCCTTGCAGCGATCACTGCCTCAGATTATCAGATATTGATCATCTCAGCCAATCCAATGCTCTCCATGAGAGTCATTTGAGCTATAACAGAGTTTAACTCCGTTATACCTGTGGAAGTTCCTCTAGTGGCTGTGTTTCGTGGTAGCCATTAGCGGCGTGTTAACTCTGCTATGAAAATATTAGCATCCCTGCCAAAATATGACATGGACATGGCACCCAGATTACTTCACAGTATATTTAAAAAGGCTCTGTCATGTTTTACAAAGAGCCCGAAGAGGACATCACAGCTTGGTGTGCAGTTGCAGGTAAATTATACTTGCCTGATCCTGTCCCACAGGGACGCTGCCATCTTCAATTCCTGGCATACTTTGTAAGGGTGTCATGGATCCTTCAGGCTTGCAGAGCCAAGTAACTTGTGGTCTGGCTAGTCGCAAAGGACTTGAAATTGTAAGCCCTGGATATTACCATGTGAGGAGAGAGATAATACCGTATTCCCACAGCAGTCACTAGCGATTGCTGGGAGAAGTGACATAACTTGACAGGGTAGCTCTGTCTTGTCACACATTGGATTTACCATAAGGCAAAGAAGTTCCTACTTTGTCTTATGAGAACTTGACTGTGTTATAATTTTAAATTAAATGCCAACACAGTCTTTGAGCATTTCATAAAGAATGTCGCCTTAAATCGGGAAAAATAAAAATACACGGACTCCAGCAGAGTAGGATTTTGCAATCTGTTCTATTAGCTCCTGTTCATATCTAAAGATACTTTCACATTAGGGGCATTGGCAGAGGAAGCCTTGCCTCCGACCTAAGTGATATGGTGGGAGGCGGAGATGAAAACATGAAAGAGGTGAGAAGATGGAGAAAAAAAAAAAAAAAAAAGCACAGTGACACTCCAGACACTCCTCACTTACCAACCTGGTTCTATTCCTACATCCAGGTCTCTTCTCTGATTGTCTTTCCTTGGCTTGTTACTGATCCTACGATCGGCTTCCTTTTAAATAGTCTTAAATTAGAGAGGCAAAGGTTTAAAAATAATATCAGGAAGTATTACTTTACTGAGAGGGTAGTGGATGCATGGAATATCCTTCCAGCTGAAGTGGTAGAGGTTAACACAGTGAGGGAGTTTAAGCATGCGTGGGATAGGCATAAGGCTATCCTAGCTATAAGATAAGGCCAGGGACTAATGAAAGTATTTAGAAAATTGGGCAGACTAGATGGGCCGAATGGTTCTTATCTGCCGTCACATTCTATGTTTCCTGCTCCACCGCTCTCCCCTGCACAGCGAGACAAAGAAAGTCACAAATCCAGGTAGGCCCCACAGCCCTGACCTAGGCACGAAACCCCCCCATATCCCCTTTTGCAGCTTGCAATGGACTGCTCCACCAGTCGTTCCTATAGCCGGAATGTACCACTCTGGATCTGACCAATCAGAGGGAACTAGTGGGGAGGTGCAACGAGTACGTTTTAAGTATTTGATCGGAGCACTCACATTCTATACCTTTTATGTTATATATGGATTAGTTGTGCGAATTTGTTGTGAAGCAGCCCTTTTATAATTTTCTCATTTATTAATAAGGATATTCTAATCTTTCCTTTTTCAATTACCCATTGTGAGTATATTTAAAACCAAATTGTAATTAATTTGAACAGGATAGATTTCCAACTCCACTCTAGTCATATCTTGGCTAATTTAGCAAGTCTGGATTTACGTTTAATCCAGGTTGCCATTAAGTGAATGGTCTCCAAGAGCTAGCCAAAATGGTTAATATATTTGGTGTACTAAATTCTTTTATTAAAGGGAAAGTAGGTACCATAACCACTACATTTAGGTGTTCAAATGGCACTGTACATTACTAAATTGTTTGACAGGTTACCTGCAGTTGATGTCCAGTTACCCCTGGCTTCATTACCACGGTGGCGTGCAGTACTGGTTATGGTGCCTAGAGTCTCCCCTAAAGCAACACTCTACCATAACTACTACATCACACTGTAGTGTTTAGGCTGCTAGATCAGCCCTGGTGCCAACCCGTTGTAATCCGGGTAAGATTTTTCAGTACTTTGACTTCTGACTTCAGTTTTCTAACCACCGACTATGGGCCTTGGCCTCGATATAGGTTGTGTTTGTGGGGAGGTGGGTATGGGGGACAGTTAGGGACTTCTTCCTCCTGGTATGGGTTTGCCACGTTTCCCCAATTACAAGTGTAAACTTTCAGTTTCCATATGTGCAGTTATTGAATCAATAGGATTATATAAAAGCATTGTGATTGGCTCAGAATACCATTTCTGATGAGGTCAGACAAGCAGGCAGAACCAGCAGCAGACTGGGGTAAAGTTGGGATTTTACTATATTTAGGGGGGCATATGTTCTGAACCGTCAGAGCGAAAAACGGGCTGCAAGAAGCGATCAAAGATCGCTCCCGCCAGTATAACACTGTAACTATCTGCCAGACATCCCAGGCAGATAGTACCAGCCAATTGCGGTGTGTGAGCGATCCATGATCGCTCACATTTGGCTGCGGTCAAAGTGGGTGTTACAAACACTCACTTTGACAGTGATCTCTGACCCGCTCTCCTCTGTAGTGTTTTGTGAGGCGAGAGAAAGATTGTGATAGTTTGTTGCAGCAGAAGTGTTCCAGAGCTTTATACAGTATCTAAATTGAATTTAAAAAACAAAAAACTTTTAACCCCTACCCTGTCATATCTGTTACAGCAGTGCATTTGTACTGTCTGTATTTTTTTTATTTGCCCTTAAAGGGTTAAATTTGTTTTAAAAATCTGTCTTGGTCAGTCAGTTTCCTTCCCCCAAATCTCCATTAGATTTTTTTTTGTGTGACAGGAGTTAGTTTAGTCTGTTTTAGAAAAAGAAAAAAAAAAAAAAGTGTGTGTGTTTGTAATTTGTTTTAGTCGTGTGTAAAACATGCAGCGTATGTATAACTTGCAGGAGGCATATTCCTTCTTGGCATCAGACTGACGCCACTGACACTGCGTCAGATTTTGACCAAGGTCAGTTTTCTGACACGTCATGTCATCTGTGTGTGAGCCGAATGTGGAGGAAGACTGGGTACCTCCACAGTTAGCCGAGCCCAACGTCCCTACTTTTAGTGCCAACGGAGGCATTAATGTTAATGTGGAGGGCTTCTCCGCAATGCAGTATGTAGAACTATTTTTAGGGGATACCATCTGGGAGGAGATTGCTTCCCAGACTAACTTGTATGCTATCCAATTTATTGATAACAATCCAGGTAGCATAACTGGCATCCCACAGATGTCCCAGAGCTTAAAAAAAATTCTGGGCTCTTACAATGCTCATGGGGATTATAAAGAAGCCATCAATTCACTCATACTGGAGCACCAACCCAATAATGTCTAGTCCAGTATTCTCCCAAACCATACCTAGAGCCAGATACGAGTTACTGCTGAGATTTTTACATTTCAGTGACAATACCCTCTGTCACCCTAGAGATCACCTCCAATACGATAGGCTTTATAAAATACACCCACTGCTAGACCATTTTCAGGACAAATTTTCGGATGTTTATTCCCCCCAACAAAATTTATCCATAGATGAATCTCTAATGAAATACAAAGGGAGATTAGGGTTCAGACAATACATCCCCTCAAAGCGCTCTAGGTATGGCATAAAACTGTACAAACTGTGCGAGAGTGAAAGTGGATACACATTTGCCTTTCGTGTATATGAGGGGAAAGATGGTCAACTGGACCCTCCTGGCTGTCCTGACTCCCTGGGGACAAGTGGGAAACTTGTATGGGACCTACTAAACCCCTTGTTTAATAAAGGTTACCACCTTTATGTGGATAATTTTTATAGTAGTGTCCGTCTGTTTAAAACACTTTATGGTTTACAGACACTGGCCTGCAGCACTGCCAGAAAAAATTCCAAAGACTTTCCACGATCTCTCATAGAGGCAAAATTTAAAAAAGGCGAATGTAAAGCACTTCGCAAAGCTGAAGTGCTTGCACTAAAATTTAGGGACAGGAAGGATGTCAACATGCTAACCACCATCCATGACGAACGCATGTCAGACGTCTCTGTCCAGGGCAGAGTAGAGTCCAAACCGGTTTGCAT